GTGGGTTTCGTGTGCAGCCCGAAGAAGGAATCGCGCATAGATGTCCCGCTGCCGATCGGCAAGCCCTTGCCACCAATTCGATCCTGTGTCCCATTGTGATCCGACACGGAGTATTGCACAGCGGCGAATACCACGCGGTTGAAGGAGACCCCCGAAGCCGAGGCCAGTGATCGTGGTTTCGATGGGCTGACTATATCAAGCATTCCAGTACCACCGCTCTCTGCCTTTTTGGCCTTCTCCAAGTCAGGGCGGTGTATGTTATTCTTCGCTGGTCCAGGTCCATCATTACTCTCGGAGCGCGCGGAGGGGGGAACCTCAGTCGTCGATCTCGCGATCTCGGCACCGGGACGTGAGCAGAGCTCCAGGTTCTCGGCTGGTGGAAAAGGTATGTTTTGGTTGGCGAGCAGTGCCTCTAGCTGCTCGACGCGGGTTTCGAGGTAGAATACGTAGCTTTACGAGTCACATTATTAGCACTCGATCAACAATTGAGGCGATTCCCGCTGCGTACACATGCGCGCGCACTAAGCAACTCCAAGCACGGCTACGCTACACGGATAGGTTAGTCCATACCTTCTGGGAATCTCCTTCTTCGTGATGGGATCGTAGCCCACACACGCGACGCCGGCCTTTGCGCAGCTCGCACAACTGGGAAGCTTCTGGTCGCATCTGTTCTTCCGTAGGCGACAACGGTTGCAGGCGCTCACGTTGCGGAAGTTGCTGCTCTGGCCTGCTTTTCCTCCTCCGCCACCTCCATTCTTCTCAGCTGAAGTCAGAGCCGCACCGGCATTGGCCATCGGATCGTTCTGTTCGGCTGCGGACGGGCTCTGGTCGATGCCAGCGGAGGGAGGCGGAGAGACGTCGACATCGTAGGAGCCTTGGCGCGGGCGCTTCGTCGGCTTGATGGTGGGCGATGGCGGTGAATGAGCTGGCATTTTGTAAGGTGAAGGCCTCCTGATCGGACGGTACCAGGCGGCTTTTCGGAGAGAAGAGACGGGGCGGGGAAGGTTGGGATTGAGTTCCGGAAGCGCGGCTACCGGCCAGTCGGGGTGAGTCGGGGGCGGGTTATAGAGCCGACTCTAGACGAGGTAGAGAGTATGAGGAACGGGTCGTCCTGTAGACTTCAAGGTAAGGTGAGCGCAGGTCCCTCGGCCAGGACTGGCGGACGGTGCGGTTGCGAGAGAGAGAGAGAGAGAGAGAGAGAGTAGAAAGAGGGGAGAGTGAAGGTGGGAAAGGCTGGACGTCGGTGAGGCATACAAATGTGATGGAAACAGGCTGTTATCGCGACGCTATCTTGACTTGCACAATGACAGCTCCACACATCATTCGGCAGTGGGCACAGACAGTTGGAAGAAGGGACCTCTTGTCTCGTCTACCTAACCCCAGTGGACTAAGGCGGCGCTAGAGGCAAGGGTCGGTTCTGGGCCGGACAGACGAAGACAATGAGGGGGGGGTCTCTCTGCAACGGAGTGGCGGCGGGCCTTGGAAAATCAAAGGCAAGGGCGACCGGGACTGTGAAGGTCACGAAGTATGTACAGATTGGTGGGCGAGACCCTTCAGCTGGGATCGCTCTGGATGTTGGAAATCTGACCGAGACTCAGGTCAGGACTGCGCATGTCGAGTCGGTCAGAGGACAGGCGGAGAGCGGACGGCGGAAGATGGCGGCGGCGGCGGCGGGATGGTGCATACAAGCGAGAGAGAGAGAGATAGATAGATAGGCCCAGTAGTTTGTTTGGAGGATGGGAAAGGAGACAAAGTGATTCAACGGCGGTGGGAATTCCCGCACATGTCTAGACAAAGACCAAGCTACCTCGACGACTCGAGCTGGGGCTGCGGGATATGCGCGGCGGTAGGTGAACCGTGAAGAAAGAGGCAGGCGGGCTAAGTGCAACCTTATGGGGAGGCGGTTGGTGAAATGACAAGAGCATGCCAAACTGCAGTACCTACCTAAGGTGAGGTAAATGGGATGGTTACCTAGGCAGGCGTGGGCAGCTTGATGGACGGAACACGCTAATGGGAAGGGACCAATCTGCAGCCGGCGATATTGGTTTTCGTTGACCTAAGCACTTTTTTTCTTCTCTCCTCCTGCCTTCCTTCAGCTGATAAGGAAAGGCAGGAAGGAGGGTCCATCGCACTCGGCCGGTTACCTTACCGTAGTTTGTGGTGCGCCTGGCACGAAAAGTGGAGGTCTGGAGACAGCTGCAAAGTTGAAGGAGTCAAGCCACAGGTGAGAAGTGACCGCGCAGCTTACAACATTACTGGTACTCTTCTTCACCATCAACCAACACCATCTAAGGTACCTTACCATTCAGCTTGACGGGCCGGGCAGAGAGCTTGATAAGTAACAAGCCACAAGAGACTGGACACGACCAACAACCAAATCTCTTCTTCATTTTCATCTCCGTCGTGCCCCCACCCTCCCCCCAAGCCACCACGAAACCCCAAACGAGAACGAACGAACAAGCCAGCGTACGATGCCTTGCTAAGGAATGCGATTCCTCCCCCGCTGTGAATCTCGCTGTACGAGTATGCAGACTGTCCAACTGTCTGCCCCCCCCCCCCCGCCCCGCACGAAGACATACCCCAAGTACACCAATCATCGAGATCCTGGCCGGCAATGCCTCGTTTGGGAACTCCATCCCGCGCTGCCGCATCGGCCTGAGCCTTTTGGCGCGCCCTCGCTTGGCCATGATGGCCGCCGGGTATCAGTTGACCATACCCTTGGAAACCGAGCTAAAAAGGCCAATTGCTTTGCTCTCTTTTGAAACTTGGCATTGGCTCCCTTTTTACGAGGGTCCAATTCACCCTCTTACACACCTGTGTGCGTGTGTGCCTCTTTATCAGAACCAGAACCAGAAGGCACCCTTATCTATCCGTCGAATCCGGGACCGTTTACGATTGAGGGAGAGCGCCACACCATTAGAAGTTGCCTTGTTCCTCCGTAGATACCAGCCGCTACCTCTGACTTTCTGCTAACTTCATCTCTGAATCGTCCTCTTCCCTCCTCCCTTTACAATGTCGTGGTGTTGTGACGTCGTTGGGATCGCTACCCGTACCACCTTACTAATCGAGTTTGAAGCAGCCGCCCACTTTACGATGTGCCCAAGACCTTGAGTCTCGACTCTCGAGATACGCATTTGCGGCTCGTCGTTTTGGATTGACCGAGATTCAGTCTCGCCAAACGAAATCCTCGACGTTGTCATCTACCGTTGACTCGCCTTCAATAGCAATACCGAGGTCCCCTCGGTTCTCGAGGCTACCGTATCTCACGTACCCACTCACCAGCGCCAACGCTCCAGCATAGGCTTAGTACACCTTTGCTAACGGACGGGGATTCTCCAATCCATCACAAGTCACAGCCAATTCACCGTTATCGATTACTGTAATCTTGATCCCTCTCTCTGTCACGAGATCCAACATTCAAATAGTACTCTTAGTAGTCGTCCAATGAGCGATGCCAACACTGACGACCAACACGCATGTGAAGACCCCCACAAGTATTTGGCTCAACTGTCCTACAGTCTCACTCACGATAACAGCTTCACAACTGAGCCTCAAGGAAATCGGAAATCGGAAATGGTCGTGGTGAAGGCCATCTCTGGCTCCAGCTTCTTTTCTTCCAAGTCCCCTTTCTTCTAGTCCCCTTTCCTCCGACCATCCCGCTGCCACCCTCCTCCCCCACAAACCCGTTGGGGAGCATCGTACCAAACTGCCTCATCTTTCGGATGAACCAAGGCCGGGAACTTGTAGACAGTCTTATATACCTGGGCACCTAGGGTAAGGTAGGTTCTGTAGTTTCGTACTATGAGACCGGGATAGCATCCGGGGAACCGCGTCACTCGAACCCTGCGAGATTTCGTTCGAGACCAGCCCCAACCTTACCTCGGGTTTTTCTTCAAAAGACAAATAAAATAAAATAAAATAAAATAGTACTTACTTGCTTCACACCCCGCGGATGTGTCTCACACCCGGAAAACGCTCAATCCATGCACTGCATGTACGTCACCGATGTTTCGCTTGGCGCTGAACAGAAACCACCCGAGAGAAGACACCACGGCCTTCAAACTCACTCATGAGGCAGGCATCTCTGACGCATATCGGAGTAGATAGGCGTGCCATTGAAGTTTGTCACTCATGACTGTATTTGTAGATTATCACGGTTATCATCACACTTGTAATCAATATTTCATCAAAATGTGTCGAGATGTTTGTCAAGTTAGGGATCGTTCTCCCATCAATTCTCTGAGAAATAAGCCATCATTAAAACATCAAGAGCGATCAGACCTTTGCAAGTCATCACAGGGCCCCCATAGAACAAATCGAGTTTCCCGCCAGAGGAAAACAAAACCCTTCCTTGCCAAAATCCTCCCCGCTCCTCCGCTTCTCTTTCCTCGGGGTGGTTTGATGCGTTCCGGTCCTCTGTGGTATTCCCCAAATCAATGCCAATCGCTTTTTCTCTTGTTGCGCCCTTTGCGGTTTCCATGTCTTCTGTCTCCTATCTCTTTCCAGTGTCGGCTGTTCCCTTGGGCTTCCATGGTATCTCCAACTCCTTGTCCAATAGAATAATCCGTATACAAAAAACAAAAATGGTCGAGGATCGTCGCCTGACCCGATACATGATGTGATGTTGAGCGCCCCCCTAAAGGTTTGATGAAAAGTCGAAACGAACAAGAACTGAAATCCAGTCATGCAGCCCGCTGATGGAAATGGTCGAAATAAAACAAGTAACAAGTCGTGAGAATTCCATATGTGCTCTCTCTTCGGCCCGTCCGAATTAAATCGTGTGATGTGAATAACTCTTTTCTCTGATTCCTTCCGTCGTGTCCCGTGAGCGATAGTCTATGTCTTGTTGTGATCCCTTCCCGTCGATAATAACGCCGTAGGATGAAAAACTCCGATTGTTGAATGATGATAAAAATAAAATAGTGCAAATCCCATGGCGCCTTTCCGGGGTATCGAAATTTGGGGGATAAGGTAGTCAACGTACGTAATCACCATGGTGATCACGATCTCCGGCTGGGGCCGGCCTCAACCTCGTGTTCGTCGTCGTCCAGGGGAACTAGCAGACCCTCAATCTCAGTGGGCTCCACTGCCGTCTCGATATCTCTGACCGGCTCGTCCAAGCGTCCACGGGGTTCAGTGAGGTGCATGCTGAGGAAGGCGCCGAAAATGGTAATGGCACCGCTGGTCCACCAAGCAAGTCCGGAGTAGCCGGTTCGGATACCCAGAGTATAAAGGAAACCCGAAATAGTCGGCCCGAACGCTCTGCATAAGCTCGCTGTCGAGGCCGCAACGCCGTTGATAGTTCCGAGGGACATAAGGCTCGGTGCCGAGTTCGTGAGCAAAATCGCATTGCTGGGGTACGCCATGGTTGAGAAAGTGCACTTCCAGATAACCATGATGTAGATGCCGACAATTCGCAAGTTCTCAGGCAGCAGAGCCAGGTAAGGCGTCGTCAGGTAGAGCAAAAAGTACGAAATGGCCAAGAGTCTGAATAGCCGGAGGGGACCGAGGCGTCTGGTAACCCACGGGAAAATGAAGACAGTCGAGATCATGGAGTAGACACCCTGAACAGCGAGAATGATGCCAATGGACTTGGTCTCCATCGAAAAGCCGCCGGGGAACTTGAAAGGAAGGTGAACATCCGGGTCCTCGCGAGGCGTGGTGCTGAGGAAGACGGGGAACAGTTGATCAAAGGTCATGGTGTGGCTGGCATGAGAGTGAGCATACTGATGTGAGTCTCAAGGTGAAGATGAACAACTTACAAGGCCAGGATACCGTAGGAGATGATGTTCAAGATGACGGGTCTGGTAAAGATCACCTTGGGCGGCTCCGCAATCTCTTCAATGATTGATGCCTCTGTGAGGTCAAGCGTCTCGGTTGGCTCGGGGATAGTAGACTCAGATCCCACAAGTTGCGGAGAGCTCTCGTTCGTCCGGTAGCCGGGAAGTTCATCGTCGTCGAGCAGTGCCTGCTTCTCCGCCTTCCGCGCAGGGATTTGGCAGCTCTTAGCCGACACCCAAGAAATGATGCGCTTTCCCAACTCCACACCGGGGTCTCTCCTCTTCTTGCGCTCAGCGTGGGTTTCTTCCAGAAAAAGCAGGCCGATAACGACTCCGCAGAAGACAGTGGCGGCGCTGAAAAGATTGGGCAGGAGGAAGGGGTATTGGTCCCAGATTGAGCCCGCTTTGAAATACTGGGGGTAACTTTGAACAGGCTCGGCGAGTAAGCCACCAAGAGCAGGTCCGACAATTGAGCTGTGCAAAGTCAGACACTAGTCAATGAACTTTGGCGAGTCGCGTAGTAGGGATACGCTCGCCGCAAACCGAACTTACCCAAGACACCAAACTAGAGGCATAATTGTGTATGCGCGGGCTGCACAGAGTTAGCTCGTCGCCTGTAACCGGGGAAGACTTCCGAACATACGCTGATGCTCCTTGACCGTAACCAACTCCGCGACAGTCGTTTGCAGGACACCAATGTTTCTTTGCCAAAGTCAGCCAAAGATCGCTCTTCGTCAGTCAGCTCATGGACTCGACATACCCGTTCAGCAAACCACCGAGAGCTCGCGCAATGAGTGCGACCGTCAAGTTGGGGGCGAATCCGAAAACCAGGGAGCTCAAAGCCGTGCCAAAGAGGCCCATCAAGAGGACAGGCTTGCGACCAATCTTGTCGCTTAATCTTCCCCAAACGACTCCTGTCGAAAACTCGGCCAAGGTAAATGCAGATGTAATCATGCCGGCGTAGACGGAAATTTTGCTCTTGTCTTCGGTGATGTTGAAGTGTTCGACCATCTTATAGACGTAGGGGAAGATGGACATGAATGCAATCGGTTCGCATATTCTGCAGAGCGCTGGTGAGAGAGCGTGTTAGCGGCCATCCTGCGGTGAGCGCATCTAAGACCGCTGGATGAGGATATGCATACCGAGAACAAACATCTGTGTCGTGGGAAAGGGCGGAAGCTTAGACTTCATGCTCCCCGAGGAGCCTCCTCGACGGCCTCCCGTCATGTAGCCGGTCCTCTTCATCTTGGTTGATCCTCGGTGTTTGCGCAGTTGACAGGCTGGATGCTGTGTAAGGCGCAAAGAGATTCGGTAGGCGGTTGGGAAAGAATTCGGATCAAGGGATGAGTGGGCGATGTTGTAATATATAGCACTGCAGTTCCCGTAACGTCTTCGGTGGGCTCAAGAATCGAGGGAGAAGAACGGTATCGTGGAGCTGGTGGTCCAGATTGGTGTGGGCAAGAATTTGTTTTGCTAGTCTCGTGGAAGGGAGGAAAGCGTGTTGATGCTCGAGACTGATGATGTAACCATGAAAAGCAACGGTGGAAAAGCAAAGATAAAACAAGCAGAGCGAGACCAAAGCTATTCAGGCAGCGTGGCGGGATGGTTACCTTATGGAAGAAAGTATCAGATGGGACAAGAAGGAGCAAGCTCTGGGGAAGCAAGCAACTTAATACGAAGGGAGCGCGGACGGTGACGATGGGAGGACCAAGAGACGTCAAAGCCCAGGGCCACCCCAGACACAGACCAGACCCAGCTGGGTTGGACAGGCCACCGGGACTGTACCATTGCCTGGGTCGCGGAAGCAAAAAATTTAGATCTAAGATTGGAACGGCGGTGACCATGGACCATGGCATGTCCAGCGCAAAAAAGAAACAAGACGATCCTCCCACTTGTCCACCGGGGAGGGATTCAGGGAGATGCGGCGGCGAAAGGTCCCACGTCGTGGGAAGGGATCCAACTGCCCGGCATGACGGCCGTGGGGCCTGAGAAGCCCTGTACCTGATCCAGGGGTACCCCCCAGACCAGACTCGGTGGGCTTTTTTCTCCATACATGCGCAGTCGGGGGGTGGGGGGGGGGGTGAGTGTGTACTGCGTATGTGTGTGCGTGCGGCGCGGCGTGCCCCCTTACCCATGTCGAGATGACGGTCCCAAGGCCATGAGTGTTCGCCTTACAATTGTGGGTAAGTGCAAGCCGGTACATCCACGGCTCGGCCACTACCTACGCGACGGCTACTACCCGGATGAGATTTCCTAGACGCAATCCGTTGTTAGCAGCTCACTGGTGTCTAGGGGAGGATGGGGTTCGGAGCGAGCGGGTGCGTGGGTGTGTGTGTGTGTGTGTGTGTGTGAAAGGGAGTCTGAGAGACACGCATCACACATACATAGGCAGTACACAAAGTGAAAGAGCCGTGAGAGTAAGAGAGTGAGTGAGTGAGTGAGTGAGAGAGTATTCGAAGGGTACGGGAGTACTTCCCTTGACCGGACGAAGAGGGTACGTACTCAACCAGACCGACATGGACGGAGTAGGAAAAGTAGGCAAGGGGTGGTAGACTCGGGGAAGGATGGCGCCAGACCGGAGGGCAGGGATCAACAGAGGAAAAAAAAAGGTTTCACAAGAGGCAACGAGGCTAGAGCCTCGATGGGACTGGGCTGGATTTGGGAGAGGGAGACTTTTTGGAGCAAATGGAGCCAAGTCGGAATTGGGGTGTGGGTAGTTGCAGGGCGCCAGAAATAAGAAAAGCAAAAGAAAATTAGCCAACCGACGCAACAGGTTACAGCAGGACAAGGAAAGGAAAGCCAACATTCACCTGCACTTTCGTCGATGGCCGCTGTGTAGCGACTACGCGTCCATCAAGTGCCCGTCACTCTCTTCTGGTCCATATCGCATCGCAATGCCAAAAAACCTGTGATGCGCAACGCAGCGGCATCTGCCCCGTTCCGATCCCAGCCCCTTGCTCCCATCTCGCCTTGTCTGCCCCGGTGGCAACTACATCGTGAGGTGTACGGATACAGAGTACCGTAGTAGGTATTGGTGTACGGATAGTCTCAGACGCAACGTGCTCGTCTCGGAAAACCAAGCTCGAATAACCCCCGGGTTTCGGGCTTCATTCACCAGCATTATCAGCCTTGGGTCTTCCGCCGTGTCTATCTAGGCTACGCAGTATGTCCAATATCTATGCTGTGCTTTGGATACTAGAACCATGCGCACGGTAATTGTGGTATGGTACCCTTCTGCCAAACGTCTTTCGATGGCTAGCGAAACGAGCATCTCGACACTGTACTGTTGTTTCCCGGCCTTCCACGAGCGGGCGAGAAGACGAGATGATGTATCTTGTCTGCGGCGATGTGAGGCACCCAAGGTGCATGGTGTGTACTTACGGCCCAAGGTTCAAACCCCCGGCACTTGGGTCGCATGGCTGGCTTTGTTGTAGGCTGGAGCAGGGGGGGTCGACATTGGATTGTTGGATGAAAGCGACAAACCACCGGCCGAGGGCTGGTCAAACGCTAGTTGACTGTATTGTCGAGGGAGGGCGACATGGGGAAAAACCCAGGCTGTCCCTGTGGCTCAGTGATAGACCGCCTCCTTAGCAGGGTAAACTAATCCTGTTCCCCGCGCTGCCTGTGCCTGATCTTTTGCGGTGAGCGGCAGTACAAATACAAGACGTTAGCTTTGCAGCCTTTGATTGGAACATCAGGGGTCGGCTTCCATAACGGATCATCCTGAATATTCCTCTGGAGCTTTCCCTGACTCCCTATTGTTGGGCAAACTGAGGTGGGACGCGGGTATGCTTCCTGTCGCACGCGGAGCTTATCACGCCCCAGAGAGCCTGCATCAGAGCGCCGAGGATCTGAGCAACAAGGCCGGGCTGATAGAACCACCTCGTCGTCCGCTTTTGTGAGGCGGTGAATGAAAGCAGGACCAGGGCCGCGGAGTGTCCCTCCCGGCGGATATCGACACCTGTTGCACCAGCGTCGGCCTTGAGATGTTCAAAGAAAAAGAAGCCATTGCCGTTACAGTTTACCGCTGCCGCTGCCGCTGCCGCCGCACATTGACTCGGAGCCTCTCTGCCGGATTTCTGGAATCAGGAGGTAGGTACCTGTGTAGATATACTCGCAAGTCGCAACTGGCGCGAAGAATACGCGTTGCTAGATACACAACGTACGGCCCGTAGATGTGTTTGCTTCCGGCGTCCTGCTGAATACGAGAGGGCATCCATAGTCACACAGCACTGGTGCTTGCAGCGGCCGTATGCGATTGTGGAGAGGCGCCTCTCAAAGGTCGCACAGCTCTATCGGCCGAGACGTGTTTCCGCCTGTGACTGTAAACCAAGGTAGCGTCGATGTGGTATGTGCCGTGACGTCTGAAGAGGGCGACCCTCAAGACTGCTGCAGCTTGCTTGCTCAAGCGCTCAGTGTACGGCTCTAGGTCCTGTTGGTCGCATGCACCCTGACCACGACAGCTTCCGATTGGAATGACAACAGCACACTTTTTTGCGCGCGAGCGGTTGATTTAGGGACCCCCTCTTCAACGGTGTAGAGGTTGTAAGGCGAACGGATACCCAAGCGAGCCGACTCAGGCGGTGCAATGCAAGCCCAACCTGAGTCTCCCATCCGTCCCTCTAACTATCCCCTCTTTCAAAGAGTCATATCGTGACATGTCGGCATCTTACTTGCACACGCCTGGTCACTTGACGATGCATCTTACTCCGCAGCAAAGAGGGTTGTGTTGCGCTGGCAAACAGTCAGCCTGTTTGCTTGCTGTCCTGTTCAATGACAATCGCATTGCCCCGGTTCAGACTCTCGGCAGGCGTTTCCGCATCCTGGGTTTGCCCACTCGACCGACACGTCGGCGCCCGGAGGGCAGACTGGTTGGATCGGCGGACTCACGTGCTTGTTGTAGTGCACTTGACTGTCCTGTACGGGTTCGGGACTGAGTGTTGACGTTGTCCTGGTGTAGCCTGTAGGTAAGAGTAGTCGAGTATCCGTACTCCGTACTACTCCGTACCCTCGATTGTTCCCACAGCATGGGGCAGCATGAAATAACCCTGGTGTCACCTTGATTAACAACGACAAGTGGGCGATGGAGACGAACCAACGGACTGGGCCAGCATGTGCTGGGTAGGTACGAATATCCATAGACCAGGCCGCAGTGTTGGCCCGTCTCCAGAGGCATCCGTTGTGTCGGTGAAGTTATAAACACGAGCCGACAAATGAAGCAACCGGGGTTGTGATGAATGGAAAAAGTCTTTTTTTCTTCTTTGACAAGGGTTAAGGAACCCTGGTCGTCGGCCGTCATTTCTCTGACCCTGCTCGCAGAATCCTCGCTGATAGATCTCGCATTCCCAGCCACTCTAGCCGGACAGCCTGTTGCAGCAAGACGAGGCTGTTTAATTGACGCTCCGGGTGGCTGCCGCAGTTCATCACTTCGACTGCTTTTCTTTCCCAATGCTTCATAGGGGTCCTGGTCTGCTCGGCATCGTGCAGGAGCGCTCGGACTCAGTGGTCACACCTCAATGATTGAATAGCTTGTTTGGGCGTCGCGGAAGCCGGGACGGTAGGTGATAGTCAGGAGTCTGCCGGTTGCCAACTCGCCACTCCCATTATTATTGATGGTCCATCTGACAAGGTCAAGGGGCTGAACGTCAGCGCAAAGTTTGAGAGACGCGGAAAATGAGGGCGTCCTTTGGCGAGAATTGCAGGCTTGGGCTCGAGCTTGGGCACAGCGGCTGGTTTCGGGCCAAGTGCCTGAGTGTCCTACGGGTACATAGTAATTAGTGTATTCGTACGCATAGAGCAGAGTCCTCGTCTCTTCTTCTTGCCCCCTTTCCCCCGTCGGCGCCGCAGCTTTCCACTGCTGGGCCCAGAACCGAGGTCTACCCCAGTTTGCAGGACATGAGTCTCCGTACAAATATAGTGGGTTGATGACGGCTGGTCCCTGTCCAAAACCATGTGGCATGGCTGGTACTCTTCCCCGAGCTGCATCATTGCGCCCAAAATCTTCCTCCACCATGGAATAGGTGAGGGCAACATCTGCGTGATGTCTCTACTTGGGACACGGGTGCACTCTAGTAACAGTTGGCAACATTTCGGTAACCCTTTGCGAAGAGGATACTTATTGTGATGGGCGATCTTCTCGTGGCGTCGTGAACTACCCGTATTCAGTGAGGAATTATTGGCTTATCCAAAATGCACCAGTACAATCGTACCAGCTGTGTCGCGCCCACTGCCGGGGCTCTTGGACCGGAAGCCGGAATACCTCTTCTCTCAATCCATTTCCGGAAACAGAGTTTGCCATTGTCTGCGATCTCGCGCTGCGCAGAGGCGTGCCGTGTTGGGCAGGTTGTTGCAGCGGCGTGGGACTGTTTCCATTTTGCCTTACTCCTCTCCTCCAAACACAGCGTGACCGGATAGCATCCGCGCTTTCGCCGTTGGTGAACCCAGAACAACCCTGGCTCAAGGTAGCCATAGCTCTGGCGGCAACTGTTATCGTGCAATTTGCGAGTGGTGTCGACCGCCGAAGAAGAAAGCTGAGCCTTGAGCACCCGTACTGAGCTACCACAAGCACCAACAAAAAGTCGGCCCGCAAAACGAAATGGCGGTGATCCCCTCCAAGGTATATCGCAATCAGGGAAATTGGCTTTCGTTTCCGCGCTAGGTCAGGGGTACCCAGTATCGAATCCTAGTAAAGCGTCAAAGCACCCCCATACAACCGTTCCTCTGGGCCCTGATCGGGCGAGTGCCGGAACTGGTGCCGAAACGCCAGGTAGCTAGTTCTGAGAATGTATCAGTGCAAAGGTACCGTTTTGTATCCTCTCGTTCGATCCTCACCGGTCCCGTTTTTCCCGTGGCCATCCGACTATCATCATATCCATCTTTCAACAGGAAATTCCTTCCCATCGTCGACAGAAAACGACAAGGAGAGGGTTCGATGCCGAGAGCGCCTAGTGACTCGTTGCTTTTCTATACAGAAGAGCAGCTGGCCAAGGAGAAAATGCGATGGATGGCTACGTCTCGTCCCGTACATGCTTCATCAGTCCAGTAGAAAGCAGTTCGTGGAGCTCGTACAAAGCTGTGGCCAAACAGACCTCCGGTCCGGGGAACAGGGCGACTAGCTAAAGGCAGGGGGCCAAATCATGTATGTAGGTATGTCATGCAGGTGATTCTCAACTACTGCGTAGACCTCCGAAGTTCAACCAGATGTTGACAGCTTTCTACCCAAACTTTGACGTCGTTAATCGATGAGGCAGCCTAATCGCCCAAACTCTATCGGCTTCGTTCAAGTAGCTGTGGTGGGTTCACCGCAATGGAGTGCCGGTAGTTGGTTCTTTTCCAGTCGAATTGATACTTGACAATCATGTCTTCAATTCGATGGCCGATGAGATGCGACAGCCCGTTCAAAATCGTGATCTCAACGGATAGCATCATAACCCACTTGGGAGTGAGTACAATACTCCGTAGGCAACAAATTTTCCGGGGTCCGGTGCACCATAACTTGTCATTTTCGCGATCGTACGACAAACGGCTTGCTCATCTTACTAGCATCCGTAACTCGTTCTTAGGGTTGGAACTGCACCTGCTGGTCTGGAGCGAAAAACACTACCGTCGAGCTCGTTGCAAACTTGTCCGAGCGGCCAACGGTATAGGTACGAATAAGTACGCATCCTCGCTCTTACGCAATGTTCTTTAGACCCGGATGACCGGATCTCAGGGGTAGTGGAAAGTCTCCTAGCCCTTCGCCACGCGGCGCTTGGCGACCCATCAAAGGGGAGCAGCCGAATGGCTGGGGATGTGCTGCTAGTTCTCCCTTGACCGAGCCTAGCTAAATCCGCGTGTAGGCAGGATCCAGAAAAGGGGTGGTTCACTTCCGATGGGACGGCCGGTTTGGAATTGTACAACCACATGACCTGTCAACGTCAGGAACGGGGCTCGCTAGTTGAAGCCAGGCCAGGATGCGTCCCTGCTTGAAAGGCTGATCATAGAACCTTGACTCCTCGTCGTCGGTTTCAGAATCATCTTCGGTCTTGCCGGGGAGGGATCCTGGTGGCTACCATTTCGTCTCCATCCTGATGCTTCGAATTCTTCTGTGGATCCTTTGGGGCTTCTCTGCCACTTCCTAAATGAGGTTGAGTGGGTTTTGAACAGTCACTCACTGCGTGTTGCTGCCCTCTCGGTCCACAGGGATGGCTTGGTGTACTGTGTAGACTGTAGTTGGCGAGACGGTGGAAAAGGCAACGAGGCAATTATCGGGTGTTTTGGGTGCGGCCTGCATGGTCGGCAGGCCGATTATCTGCAGTTTGCCTTATAATCGCCAGAGATTATCTTGGTAATGAATAGCGTAAGGGGCTTGAGATGGGTATATCGCATTGTTGATCATAATACGAGCGAATCTAGGTAGGCTCTCTCATGGCTCTACTGTCAAGCGCTGGGCAGCAACTTGTAGTCCGGTCGGGTAGGCAGCCCCGCGCACGCGGAGGTGATGACAATGTAAAAGAGCTGCCGACCAGCGCTCTGGAAGTTTCCTCACCCCCGGCGGTATCATCTCGTGCTGGCGGCGCTGGACCTGTCGTCTGGGTTGCTGGGTACGGGTACTCCTGGGATCCCGGGTTGAGTGGGGGAGGATAGCAGGGGTTGCTCCCAAGAAACCCAACGGCCGGGTTGATTGCGAGGAGCTCTTTCAGGGTCAAACAAGCCCGTGGTTTGCAGCAAATTTATCCAGCACGGGGGAGTACCGCCCGCTTGCCGGACGAATCGTAAGACCGCATTTCCCGACGGTGATCACTTCGCGTAAAGGCGAGACGACTTCCAAGTCGGAGAGGCGGCGCGAGCACGAGCGGAGCCCCAAGCTTTGTTGCGTAAGGTATCCGCATCGCTCAGAGAACGAAAGCATGCCACGATGTGGTGTCCCGTCCGTCCCGTCCCAATTGACTGGAAACTGCGGGCTGCATGTATCAATGCTTGCATCAAGGTCATGCTGTACGTTGTGCGCGGCGAAGCGGGCAGGGCGGGTAGACGATGCTGGAGGCTGGAGCAGGCGGCTGCTGCAAGCTGGGGGTTAGGTATCTGGGTGTAAGTATTGCGTAGGTAGTGCGTAAGTTACAGGTGCGTTTGTATCAGCTGTCGCATTGGACTCTGAGCTTTGCAGGTAGGTAGTGCTCCAAATGGGGCCTGATGGCTTGATTGATGGGCAGTCAATGTCAGCATGTCTCAGTCCTGACAGGCTGACTTGTCTATGTTCTCTGTCATGTCAATTGTCGTCGATCCGGAGGGTCTGTCTCAGTTGTGTCGATTGGCGATTGACTTTCTTGGGTCAACAACCAGGCGGCCACTGAGGGGTGCGGGCCGATAAGAATCGGTCAAGAGAATCAAGACTGTAGCATGAAGAAATGGCTCCGACCACAGCGGTATGGATACCCATTGACTTTGGTTTCGCCCAGTGGTCGGCGGGTGAGATGTGGGTGGCATAGTCTGAGGCGGTGGGGGGGAAATGCTGCTGGCGAAAGGAAATCGATGAGCGAAAAAAGGAAGCATACGTCCAAGGGTGAGATTGGCGGTGGGCGTGATGCGCGAGGAATGATGTAGGGTTGACCGAGACTGACAACGTTGCTTTTTCCGCTCTGGCAACCTAGCGTGCCTAACAAGCCGCCTTGCGGGCCAAGATGTTCTCTTCTCTCCGCCTCGACCGCTTCCTTTTTCCTCCGCTCTGCGACCTGCCCGTCTTTGTCGTGCCGTTTGGTTTCTGATTTTGTTGCACAACGGGACTCCGTCCCCTTCTTGGCCGTGGTTGTCGATCCGAGATGCGTCTCTATGGGGTCCCGAAGTTGGATGCAGTCGGTGAGGCAACGGGTTCGACAAGGACGGAAGTATCGGGGTAGACTCTAGGAACCAGCCGTACGCACGTAACATCCCGTCTTAAATCCCTGACTGCTCTTTTCTGCCTGGACGATAGACCTGCCACTTGCACGTTTCTTCTTGTGGGCAGGAAGCTTGCAAACTTAGACACGCAGACAATAGAACATGCAGATACGCAAGCATAGCTGATGCTGGAGCTGGTAATGGCTGCTGGGTCGCGGTCTTCTCGGGTGCAGCAGCGCCTGCCCATGACAGTGAATCTGCACAAACACACCTGGCTGGGATTAGGAAAAACAACAATACCTAGCCACGCAGCACATCTTGCCTCGTATGTATGGGATCATGCTGCGCGAAGCAGAAGGAAGGCACGTTGAATGCGAAGATCGCGGGTCGTTGAGGCCATGCGCCTTGGAAAAAGCAAGGAGCACGAAAAAGGGAAGCAGAGATCCAAGTCTCATTCCATGTCTGGCTGAGGTGCGGATACCTTGGTGCGGTAAAGGTACCCAGCCACGCCAGCCTAAGGTAGGTAGGTAGGTGTGAGGATGTACCTTCCCTTCCCTCCCAACCTACGCAGTAGGTAGCTTCCAGTCCCTCGAGGCTTTCCCCAAGCTGTCCTTCCAGCTTACCTAAGACATGGGGTACTGGGTACGTCGGTGTAAGTGGACAGGACAGGCATGAGGCACTTGGAAAGGTATTCAGGTACATGCAAATACCTCAACTCACCTAACCTTAGTTTCATTCCGTGGGATAATTTTGACCGCATGTCCTCGTTCAAAGGCGTGCTGGGTGTTTCCGTTCAACCCTTTAGCTGTCACGTGGCTGTTTGCTCCTTCTGCGCATGCGATCAATGCCTTGGTACAACACCACAGGTACCCCAGTTCCCAGCGTGAACTACATGGAAAGACACAGCCGAGGACGGGAATGTTTGTCGGCAATCTTCTACCAACAAGGACCCAAGCGAACCTTGGCTTTGGTGCACCTTGCGAATGCCCTCAGTGGGATCCACTCGCAGTCGGGATTCTTTACCAATCCTCAATCCTCCCCGACCTTCGATCTGCCTTCCGACTCTCGCCTTCCTGCAGCGTACCGCCTCATCTCGATGCCTTAAGATGCTCAGAAATGAAAGAAAGGAAAAAACAATGCAGTGGACATGAGTTGCTGCAGGATGCGGTTGCCTTCTTCCTTGTCCTGCAGTCGTTCGCTCTTCTTTTCCATGCTTCTGCCAAGATGGGCACTTGCTTGTCATCCCTACATTGGCCAGCTGTTCGGCAAACGTCAATAAGCTGAGACCTTTGTCCTGCCAGGTAACTCGTGATCTGCGTCTGTCATATCACGAACTAATGTCTCGTGCAGCATCACCTGATCAGTCTTCCTTCTTCGGCCGCAGCATCAAGCATGTCGCCGCATGCCGCTCTCCGCCTACCGCCTCGCTGGCCCGTCATTCTCTCGCGATACCTGCAAGCCCTGCAAGGGGACCTTCAGTGACCGTCAACTCGGTGTGATGATACTACCCAATCCCCTTCTCGGCCACCTTTACTCGGCCACTCTCGTCTGCCACCTAGCCAATCTGCATGGCTGTCACTGTGCGTGTCCCAAACACATCAAACCATTCGAACCGAAAACCGGCCGTTGATCCAAGTATCCTCACGCCCAGAGTCGCATCTCATCCCGCATTTCGTTGCATACGGGCTGAGCTAAGCTGTTCATCCCTTGATTTGATCACGCTATCAAACGCCTTATCCGTGAAGTGAGTATACGGTACCCCTGCACTCACCCCCGGCATCCGTCTGCATCGACGGCAGCAGTCAAGTCAAACTTCGAGCTACTGGCAACATGGCATTTTGGCCCCCATTCTCGACAGCTTGCTGGCTTGCTGATTAAAGGTCACGCTACCTCGACAAACAATGCCAAGACCACCCCGTCACCCACCTGTATGCATCATGTCCATCACCGCCGAGCCGTTCACACGAAAGGAACGCTTGAGAGACGACTCACATTCAGGCGCCGGCCTGCGAGATACCTCTTCTGGGGTCGACTTACGCCTACCCTTTCAGAAGTTCCGACCTGGATGCTCGAAGGCGCTTGCCTCGATCAACACCATCACTTCCGACGTAGTACCATTTCGCATCATGGTACGATTCCATTTGCTACCCAATGGTCTCAAATAGTGCTAGTTGTTGTGCTTCCTTGAGGCGTAAGCAGCTAGCTTCTGCGTCGATTCGATCTGCTCGTTCTCCATCAGATCATAACACGATCTGCCCTTTTCCAGGGCATTCAGACGACGCCCAAAACCTGGTCTTGAGAAACAGGATTGCTATGCGTGCTAGGCTGGGTTGGCCTCCGAAAAGCTACGAATTGCGAGGCTGGTAACTTTCGCAAACCTCACCCGAATGTAGGCAACCCCTGCAGTACTACTTCGGGTCGGCCCTTTGTTCTATCCGTTTATGAAGTTTCTTCAATAAGGGCGCTGGTGCTTCCCAGACGACTGAGTCATCTTCCTGCTCCAACATCTGGCAACAATTCGTTAACATCGTGGGATGGATCTGTTGACGCGACCAAGCAATCTGCTGCTGCCATTAGCATAGGTTTCGTCTGTAGCACTGATTACTACCCACTTCTATGGGGCGGCCCGATGCCGTCCACGACAAGTTCCCGCTTCAAAAACGCCCTAACCCTGGAGCACACTTTCAAAATCTGAGCAGTGACAAGATTCCGCCATGGATATGCGCTGGAATCGATGCGGATTCCACGATCCAGGGCCCTTCCTCACTGACTCGTTTCGAGTATCCCCGGTGGCACAATTGGCTAGCGCGTCAGACTGTTAATCTGGAGGTTCGTGGTTCGAGCCCACGCCGGGGAGTTGCTATGGTTAGACTCCATTATACGAGGGTAGGCACATTCCTTTTTGACGAATGGTTTTGCCAGCTGCTTCCTTCAGTGTTCGAGCTGGGTTAATCACGAATTGAATGCGCCCTATCTCATTGAAGTGATGTGTTTCGTTAGCCATAAGCTAGGCGCACTTTTGAGCTCACGACGAGTTTGACCTCTTTTTTTTCTTTTTTTTATAAAAAAAAAATAGGGCCTTCGTAGCATCTCACGCGTATGAGAGTATGCCTTGGTGTAAGACGATTGATCAGGCGCACGTGCTTGTCCTCGTAGCTTCTCAATGTCCTCGCAGCTGCACCAGCTGACCCCCAGTGCAGATATAGATGGCGTATGAGATCCAGCTTCATGTCTACAATAAGGCAGGGTTTGTTGAGTGCTCATCTGCTAGAGGAGCGTGAGCCTTGTCTTGTTAGCGATCTTTGAAAAGGAAATAAATTATGGAAATTGGCCGTACCGACAGGCATCAGCTGATCCTGGCTAGGTAGCCTTCGCCGCAAACCTTTCATGCCTTTGGGCCCCGGCGTTACACTCTTCGAACGCTTGCTTTTTGATCTTTATGACTGATGATTGGATCCTGCGCAACTGTCGGCTCAGGAATCCTTGCCCAGACACACGGAAGAAGAACGAGCAGTCCGTACTCACCTTCGGTCAGTCAACTCACCGGCTCGGTAGGTCGCCAGATACAGGGTTCACTGTGTCTAGGAAAGGGGGTGCTTCTCCACCGCAGAATCACTAGGCTGGAAGCCTTAAAGCTTGACTCTCACATTGGGTTCTCTGCGCGCGCGCTCCCCTGGCAAGTTTTCCCCGTAATCGAAATGTGACATGTCACTTACCAACTCGTTACAGCCCTGTAGATCTCTCACCGCCTGCAAGCCCATCTCCTTTCTTACATAGACACCGTGAGCTGGGAATTGGCAAGGGTAGCCTACGCCAGAGTCAGCAGGATGAGCAAGGGGACTTGACATCCTAGCCTGCTCCCCATGAGCGGGATTTCCGGGCTCAAACTATATCCTAACAGGGCTTAAAGGTCAACTCCGTATTCCACACGTGCTTCTTGGTTCCGTCGGTCCGCGAGAGTACGGATATGGAGACGTTCAATGATCACTCTTCGAGCCTGGTAGGCGATGTGAAGCGCCTGGGGAAAGAATGGCGTCACGTCATACGACTGTTGTCACGACCAGCCGTCGTGTAACGATTTCCGGAAGCTGCCTGTATAAGGGCGACAAACCTAGCTAAGGTCGCCTTGCTCTCTCGACTTGGCATCCGTGCTTGACCTTGGAAACTCGAAATGGGTGGCTAAGTGCCCTTGAGCACCTCCGTGGTTGACTAGGGGTCCGGGGCGTCCGGATGCCTCTGTGCTCAATACCTCATGGAAACAACAAGGTGATGTTACGGTTGCTACGATACGTGGCTGCCGTGGGTCCCACTCTAGGTCTTGGAGCCAGTGATTACTTGCTTACACCGCTGATTAGACCGCAGCAGAACCCAATATCAACCCAGGGAACCGTGAGCCTCAAGCCGGTCGACAACGTCTTGAACCCTGCTCACAAAGGTGGTTCGCCCGTTGACTCACCGAAGTTCAGATCAAGGCATATGCCACGGTTGGTCAGCCCTAGGCAACAGACTTTGACGGGCCGGGCCATAGAAGCTTTGGAGCCACCGTCAACAACGCTCAGGGGTGAAAGTGTTTTGAATTATCCGAGACTATTCTGGAACTTCTGCTGCGTACCGACAGGAATCTTATTCCCCCCGGGGGGAGGGGGGGGGATGCTGAAGGTCGTGGAGCCTTTGCCAGGCGCTCTTCCGTGTGGTCAATCATCGAAAAAGCACCACAACACCTTGTGTCCACGTCAGCCCTCCGCTCTGACGTGTCCGCGGAGCCGTGGAATATTGACAACCCTGGAGACAGAGACACGCGGCATGATATCACTGACAGAAGACACCTGATATGGACTTGAAGATGTGTGATGGTGAGCTGGACCATCTTTTGCACCCTCAAGAATCGAGTCGCATTTAGCTCTGCCCCTGCTCGTTCTGTTGTCCTACCCCGTCAGGAGACAAAATTATACAAAGGAAGTATCAGAGGACTAACAGTCCAGCGTTCATAAAGCAACCTATGCCGTGTATACCGGCTCTCTTGTGTGCTTCATCGCTCAATGTGGCATATATCTCGCCGAGAATAAGATTGGATGCGCCTTCGGCAGCCATCGGCCTGCCACTCTAGCACTCGATTCATTTTAATGCAAAGGTTGGGCATATGCACGTTATCCGTTCATTGATCGTCATTAGTATGCTGTCACAGCGGGTATGATTCAGGAAGGCCAGGGTGACCTCTGCTGTATAGATGTAACCGCTGAGTTCCCTTTGGTCATCGCCAAGTTGTTTGGTGCGGAACCAACCAACGAACCATTGTTGCGCGTTTTTGTGTAACAGAAGAACAAAAATTTCCATTCCTGACGTTGCCGACGGAGAGTCAGGCCTGTCGTGGTGAAGAGGCAACACTGCATTCGCACCAAGGAACTCACTACGTAGGCGCGGTCCGATGAGCCTGGGACAGATCTGTTTCCAGAGTCAAACGTCCAGTCAACGAAGACAACCCTGGCAAAACGTATGCAAAGCTGCCAGACTTAGCAACGTCTCAACTCCTGCAAGCTCTAAGCCTCCGGAAAGCCAGCGGCACGTGGCACAACTGGACGGACCTAAGATGGCAGGCCTCGATACCGAAAAAGGCAGGGTACTGCAGGTCATGTTCACCGAAGCTCCCTCTGAGTGGCTGATGTGTCGACTCGGTGAAAGCACAAGCATGAGTAGCTCGGTACGTGGTGATTAGGTCCCTGGTACATCTTGGTGCGAGGATGCGGAAGAAGGCGCAAAGGCGGCGCGAAGCCATGCATCAATGTAAGCTCACCAAACACGGGATGCTGATTTGAGTAACACGATGAAATATGATTCATGCCCAGTGGAAGGACCGGATCAGATAGATTGGCGTTGGACGGGCAAAAATAAAGTGAGATGACTCGATCTATCCGGACAATGGTCGGGGAATACGGAAGACGCTATCCGGCTTTCGTTCCGTTTATAGGGACCGGAAGAGAGAGGGGGGAGAGAGAGCAATCTAACGGCGAGCAACTTGCATCGATGCCGGCCTACTCAATCTTGCCTCGTGCGTGCAAGCTATCGAATGCTGTGCTGATGAGGTTTTAGATGGTCGGGGAGGACGACATGCGGTGCTGCCATGTACGGCGTATAACATGTAGCTGCCTACTTTACATTCACCAATCACTTGAAGGGAAAGTATCCGTATAAGGTAGGTATTCATGGATGCGTATAGGTAAGTAATTCGGATAAGTAGGTTGGAATAAGTATGTTTGTACTTCGTAAGGTACCTTAAGTAAGGTGAGGTGCCTAAGGTAGTCAGTCGTGTGGTGTGACGCACGTTTGCAAACGGGGTGGCGAGCTGTCCCCACAATCGCCCGCACGGTATGTCGCACAAAGACCGACACTGTACCTCGGTTGCGATTCCATCACCGAGATACCTTCATATTGTGTGAGGGGCTCATTGCTTCAGCTCCCTCGGTTCGACATGACATTCAACTTCGTACGAACTGAGCAGATGAAGTGGAATGGAGTAGCTGGTAAACACGAGGTGATAGCTGCCTGGCTACCCCTAAGCCATGCTGTGGCTACCTACCTACGCATCGAGTCCTCGAGCGATCGTGTCTGTTGGTCGCCGTCTCCAAATCTGGTAGACGGACAGCTTTCATCCAATGCTTCAGAGCCAGAGGTGTATCGGATGAAAAGAGCCTGGAACCAATACCTACCTACCTGAGGTAATAGTCCGAGGTGTCTTTAATGGAAAAGGCCCCGGCTAAGGTACCGTCCAAATCACCGGCTTTTACACTGTCCACCACCTCCCGCCAGCTTCTTTTGACGACCTCACCCCATTCATCCCTGGCCCGCCGCACCGGCCCTAGCTACTTTGCACCACCTTGACACCAGTAACTACGGAGGGTCCAACGCTACGCTAGATACCTTACCTCACGCTCCGCTCCGCTTTACTCATTCTCCATTTAGCCCATAGGTCTGCGGAGGAGGCAACGACGTCCAACTTGTTTTCTCCCCTCTCCCATCTCCCCTCGGGTTTCACAACATCTCTCACACGCACCACTTGCTCGACTGCAACATCTCGGGCACTGGCCACGAACCTCGCACGCGGCCACACAGAGAAGCAAGCTGCCTCTCATACAGCATACGCATACGAACGACTGCTGCAAACCCGCGCATCGCATCGCATCGCATCGCATCGCATCGCATATCGCGCATATTGCCGACCCGTGACCGAACCGAACAACCCAGCATCACAAGGAGACAACATGGCTGGCAAGAAGGGAGCAGGTGAGAACAGCAAAAAGGCTGCCGGGAACGCCCGTAAGGCCGATGCTGCTGCACAGAAGGCCGCTGCCGAGGACGCGAAGAAGGCTGCCGCTGAAGACGCTGACTGGGGCAAGGGCGCCAAGGGAGCTGGAAAGAAGTGAGTAAGAGTCACGGACAACGTTACGGCAACATCCCCTTGGCCGCCACGATGTGCTATCCCGCATGTGACACCACCGGCTTCCATGCATCACGTTTCCTCATCTCTCGAGATCTCCAGTACCCCACAGAGAGGAAACCAACCCAGTGCCATGGCTGACCACACCATTCATCGTTTAGGGAGGCGGAAGCTGCCAAGAAGGCAGAGGCAGCCAGGAAGAAGGCCGAGAAGGATGCGCTCCTGAAAGAGGAGGAGGCCAATACCCCGGGAAGGACTGGACCGAAGAACAACAAGACGGCCGTGAAGAAGACACGTGGGCTCGATCTGTCACAGTTGGACGGCCCCCAGAGCGGAGGCTCGCTTGCCGCGCTCAACGCCACCGGTATCGACAACGCCCTCGACGCCCTCTCCCTCACGGGCTCCGACAACAACGCAAAGATTGACCGCCACCCCGAGCGACGTTTCAAGGCGGCGTACGCGGCGTTCGAGGAGCGCCGGCTCAAGGAGATGGAGGACGACGGCTCGGGCCAGGGCCTGCGCCAGCAGCAGAAGAAGGACAAGATTAGAAAGGAGTTTGAGAAGAGCCCAGAGAACCCGTTCAACCAGGTGAACGCGAGGTTCGACAGTACCAAGGAGGAGTTGGCCGAGATCAAGGCGAAGGAGAAGGGCAAGATCGAGGCCCGCCTCGGGAAATAATGGCCCAGTAAGAAGCCTCTCGAGCATGTCATTTTTCATCCCTTCGGGGGCATCACTGCTTTGGGGGACTACATGCAAACGTGGCACAGAGATGTCAGGGCTGTAAGAGTGATGCGCATCAGTCACCTGCATATTGGGATATCAACTCTCGGATGTGAATAGATCATGAGACCAAATTTCTGCCCCTCCATTTCCGAATGGATCGATGACATCGTGGAGTTCTCTTGCCCACGCGTCATTATTGTGTGCATGGCGGAACCACGTTGCGATTCGCGAACCCTTGTAGGCACAGAAGCTTGGGAATTCCGTATTTCGCGCCTCCTCCGCTGAAATTCCCCTCCGCCCGAGCCGCCAGCCTCGACAAGAGTGACGCCGACGCAACGGCCGAGATGACCGAGATCGCTACACCTGCCGTGAACACTTTTTGGCGGGGTAGCTTGTGACGTACGGTGGAGGTGGGGTAGAAACAGCCCTCGCTGCCACTGATAAGATAATGTTTTTCTTATCAAGATTAGGAATTGGGCCGGCAGAATATCTTACCGCTTTTCCTGACCGCCCTTGCTTCACGCATGAATGAGACGTTGCTCAATGTCTCAAGACGGGCTTCTTCTCATCGCGGCAGATTGATCTTCATCAAGTCCTTCATTTTGATGCTTCATTCATAAGAAAAAAATGGCGAGTCTACGAATGGGCAGTATGCCGTCGTTGCGGCGACAGCACCTCCTGGCCGAATTGTGAGTTCCCCCCAAAGCCAGACCCCATTCTGCGTTTCCCCCCCGAGGTCTGAGTTAAGCGTGTAAATTGCTAACCCTTGTACACCAGCGCCGGTCTGAAGCAAGCTTGTCCGGAGGGGGTTTTCGTGAGCTTGACACCAGGAGACCCAATGCTGTGGTCCGGCGTGATGTTTGTGAGGCACGGTATGGAAGCCCCCGGATTCTGTCGATGATGAGAGGAAGATCCAGAGCGGAGAGAGGAACAGAGAGGAGACTGAGACTCTTTCGCAGGACCCTACGCTACGGCTATCCTGAGATTTCAGATTTCATTCCCAGACACATATCCGCGACTACCGCCACTCGTCACCTTTTCAACAGACATATTCCACCCGCTAATCACACCATTAACGACGTACATGTACACCACCGACATCCAGGATAACGGCACGGTCAGCGCCACCGACGCAGAGCGCCTACCGCCCGGAGGCTTCAGTCTGCGACACGGATTCCCCGCTTGGTTCGGGCGGGGCAGCAAAAGCAACGTGGGGAGCCGACAGGCCAGCGGCCAGCAGCAACAACAACCGCCCGCAACGCCCGCAAGAGGAGGCGGCGGCGGTGGGCCATCCAGCACTTCGTCGACGCCCGGCTCAAAGGCGACGCCTTTCGGAGGTCGGCCAGGGTACCTCGACACCTCGAGGCGAGAAGTCTCCACGTACGAGGTCTTGCGGTATATCCGAAGCACGTTCGACGACGAAAAGGTGCTGGACTCTGTGCCGCTCGAAGCTGCGGGAAACCCTGGCGCGTGGCACGCGTGGCGGACGCGTCAGCGGCAGGCTGGCAAGAGTTTCCCTGGCGATCCGGTGCCGCAGGAGAAGAATGAAAAGGAGCAGGAGGGCGAAAAGGTGGCAGAGGCTGCTGACGGGGTTGCTCAGGAGAAGAAGGAAAGTGGTGAAGGGGAGGGGGAAGAAAGGGCGGAGGAAGCGCCGCCTCCGCTGCCTGAGAGGAAGCCTTCCACCAGCGGAAGTGTTCACTCCATCGTTAGGAAACCTATTGGCAGTGCGCCTTCCGTCTCCAGAAAGCCCGGGGAATGGAATTGGGAAGGTGTTTGGGAGGATAGAGTGCAGAAGGGTATCGCGACGTCCCTCTCTGAGGCGGTCCTCTATGGGGCGACGTCGGGTGGCGATGACCTGGTAAGTTTCCTTTTCTCTTTTCGAATGCGTGGACCTTAGAACATGGACGGGTTGCTGACCATCAATGATAACAGATCAATTTCCTTGCGATGGAGGAAGGCGACGTAGACGCCGTGAGGGAAAACTTGCAGCGTACATTGGGAAGCAGCCCGGCGACACCTGAAGAACGCAGAAGCATGCAGGGCGTGCCTGCGGCGGAATGACGGATTTTGCTTGAAAGCGACTGCCTTTAAAACTTCATGACATGACCTAGCCTACCTTACTTACCATGCACATTCACCTTCCCCCTTGTCGCGGATGAGATATAGAAGTTCCTGGGTAGCTTTTTTCTCCTCTTCCACGTAGCCTTACTACATACGACCTACCAATGGCCCCTGACTAATAGATCATCATTCCAAGACGTCAGAGATCATCGCGTACATCATTTACCATCTTGTCCCTTCGACTATGGGCCTCTCTACTCCAGTAGCTGCAACTCTCATCGTTCTCGTCACTGTCGTGCCCATGCTACTCATCACAGGCTTCACCGCCCGCTTTATCTCACGCAACTTTAGAGACGCGGCCGGTGCCATCGAACCCAAGCCGGCGAGACGCTGGTTCGGTCTCCGCCGCGTCAAGTCGAACGACAGCGCCACCACCAGCCTCGCTACCAACACGCTACAACACGCGGACTCGTGGCCCGATCTCGAGAGTCTGAGGACGTACCGGGACACGCCGACACCTTCGATCCAGCGCAGGATCCACGAGGTAGCCTTGGTACCCCAGCAGGTCACTACTGCTACAGTCCAGATCCAGCCGCCGCCCGAGACATGGCATCCGTCGAGGGCCAGTCGTTTGAGCTGGAGCTTCTCGCCGACAAGGCGGAGAACGGATCGGAGAGGGGCGGTCCCGAAGTCCCGCAGCCGCTCAAGGTACTCAAGAGACTCGGGCGTGGTTCTGGAGGGGAGTTCCGAGGAGTTACAAGCGGCTCGCGATCAGTTCCCGAGACTGACGAGGGTTTAGGCGGTGTCCCGGTGCCGTTCGGCGAGTCTCTCGTGGTGAGGAAGAAGCGAGGGAACCACAGGAATGAGCACATGCCTGGCTCGAAGAACGGTGGCTAGGAGCAGTCTTCACTTGGCGGGGACAACTTCGTTGCACATGCCATTTCTGGGCCATTCGATGACTATGATGATGTCGAGACACCATCTGCAGTACCACAGGGCAGCGCTTCTTATTTCATGCGGTCTTCCAGTAACTCATCTCTGACTGCTCAAGCCAGCACTTCTCATCACTCAAACACTTTGGGGGAGAGAAACACGTCTCATGGCTCTGTTGTGCTCGTGCCGAAGATTTCCATCACCTCGGGGATCAAGGCTCTTGATGGCAGCACGGCAAACTTTTGGGTTGCCGTTGAGGTTTCAGGACAATTGTGCCAACCTCTCAACGGCTCACCCTGCCCTGGAATCTTTGCTGGGGATGGGCCTACCTCGGTGAGCGGAGTCAATAATCAATCTTCTACAGGTAAGTAGGTGTAAATGTCTATATTGTTCTCTATGCTAACATCAACCTAGATCCTTTTAGGCATGGGTGTATTCACAGCATGGATATACAGGTCGTTCCACTTGGAAACAGTTGCATTCTCGAGACAATTCGGGACGATCCTATCCAAACGTGAGTACTTTCACCTGGAGTTACGGACAATTATCTGATTGTAGTACAGAACACTAGGCAATGGCGAAAGAGTACTGCTGCTTGCGCAAGTCTTAATCAAATCGCCTCGCTCCACCAAGCAGCCAGGCCATGTCAAACACAGGTCAGATGAGCTGATCGATGACTTGGAGTATCAATTAGGAGATTCAAATCTCGAGTATATACGCGTTTCGGTCAAGTATAGCCATTCAGCATTCTTCTGCCAAAGTCGACCTGACATCATCGACAACATAACAGAAGGCGGCACGAAACTAGAGACTTTTGCTACAGCCGTCATCAAGCAGCACAATCACCAATCACCGTGGTCTCCGAGTCTAGCCCCAACATATAACCCCATTGCGAGCATCGTTCGTGAGAACTAGGAGCCATCGAAAGCTCGTAACACAATTTGCCGTATATCAATGAGGCCCTCAACACCACAGAGGTCTCTCAGGGCAAGGTCCAGGATGGACTTGTCTATGGAGAGACCAACGGACATGTTGACCCCTCCGGTAGTTCCCAGGCGAGAGGCAAGCCTTGGCAGAGACGTAACAGTCAGGAAACCAGAAGCAATGCACAATGGGTGGTCTCCTGGGCATCGGAGGACGTTGGCAGTGGACTTGGACTGGGGTAGTCCCCGCGCGGAACAAGGGAAGCGATGGCCATCAATTGCAACGTGCCCCGGCGAGGCGGCAACCGGAGCCGGATTCAAAAATAGGTTTGCGAATCATTTTACGGCACTGAGAAGCCCGCGCTCGATAGGCCCGGGCGTTTTGAGAGGCTTCGCATCTTCAGTCGCCGACACCCGAGATGAAGGTCACGAAGCAGAGAAGAGAGAGGCATTTAGAAGAAACTCTCCCCGCGGCCAGGGAAGAAAGCCATCCAGCCGTTGGAGTTGGACGAGTTGGTGGTCTTGAGAGGGCTCGCAGTTTGTAACTTGTTCGGCTTTGGTTCAGATGGGTAATATACACAAACGCGCACACGCGCCTCGGGGAGTATTAGATTTAGAAGCACCCGAACTACGATTCGCATGGTGTTCATTCACCCTTTTCACTTTTGTCTTGTCCGCTGACGCCTGAACGATTGATGCTTTTCTTTGTTTTTGGTTTACAGTTTTATGATTTTACTTTTTTACTCAATCTCATGCAGCGGTCCTTTACTGCAACTCATCTCTCCAAGGAATAGATGTTTGCGCGCCTTTACGCTCGACAGTCTTGGCCGCCGCGTTGTTGGCGCTCTTGATGGCAGAGGAAATGTCAAAAGCCACACCCTTGGCCTGGGCGGTCACGGCAGCAACGCAGTAGGAGCCGACAAAGGTATCGCCGGCGGCGGTGGTGTCGACGACCTTGACTTTTTGGGCGGCGATGAGCTCGGCGGCGCCCTCCTTGTTGGCGTAGTAGACACCGCGGCCGCCGAGGGTGATGATGACGTTGCTGACCTTCTTGGCCATGAACCACTCGCCTACACGGTTGAGGCCCTCGGGAGTGTCGAGCTCGGACTCGTCGCAGCCAGAGAGGATAGCGGCCTCGGTCTCGTTGACGACGAGGTGGGCGAGTCCGTCGTAGGCCTCGTCAGGGAGGCGCTGTGCCGGGGCGGGGTTGAGGACGACGGGGACGGAGGCCGCCTTTGCGGAGCGGAGGGCGGCGAGGACGGTCTCGAGGGGCACCTCAAGCTGCATCACCAGCAGATCGGGCTTGGGATTGAGGGTCTCAGGGAGGGTGCCGAACTTTTCGGAGGTGACGGCGTGGTTGGCCTCGGGGGCGAGGATGATGCGGTTCTGTCCGGTGGGCTCGTCGACGACGATGATGGCCATGCCGGTCTTGAGGTCGCTACCGACGGCGATGCGGTCGGTGCGAACGCCGTGCTCGCCGAGGTTCTTGAGGAGGAGGTCGCCGTAGGAGTCGCTGCCGACGGCGCCGATCATGGAGACAGAGGCGGTTTCGGAGGCGGCATCGTTGGGGGCTTCACGGGAGCGGGATAGCTTGGCGCAGGCGACGGCCTGGTTTGCGCCCTTTCCTCCAGGCGAAATGACAACAGAGTTCGAGGTGAGGGTCTCGCCTGGCAGGGGGTGGTGGGGGACGTAGGAGGTCAGATCAATGTTGAGGGAGCCGAGAACGGTGATCTGGGGGGTCTTGGTGGCAGCCATTTCGGGCAATTTGATCTTCTTTCTCGGTGTTCGGTTTCTCGTGTTTTCCCTCCTCGGCGATGATAATGATGATAATGTCGTCGACGTTAGAAACAACCTGAAAAGGCAACCTGTGATGTTTTATGATTCGAATCGTGCGGTGGCAATCGGGTATCTTGATGAGACAGAGGCTTCTCTTTCCGAGCGAAAGAATGCAGCTCGGGTACTGAGGTGAGATAACGGTAGATCAGGTGGTGAGGGGCAGAGAAATGGATGTGAGGCATTGAATTTTACCAGCCGACGAACGGTGACAGGACCCCGCCAAAGCCAACGCCAACGGAGGTGGGATGATGATGCACTTGGCGGGGCATTGGCTGCCAGGTTCGCAGTTGGAATTCTGTAGCGTAAGGGTGGGAGGGGCAGCCGAGTGATGTTGCAGGGGGTCCGGGTGGAAATCCTCTCCATGGCCTGCTCGAGGGATTGGCCCTACGGACCGGGAGGGACCGGAAAGAGATCCAGTCTTTGCAGTCTTTGTAGATGGTGCATCTTTGGGTTGTTGACGTTACTGGAGAATTTCCACAGAAAAAGCTGTCAAAGCAGGGAAAACAGACAAAAGACAGGGTCCACAGTCGGCTAGTTTTTCTCGCTACTGGCTAGCATGCTCAGGTCGTTTGAGGCCCAGTGCTGTGCAGTGATTTGATATGGCAATGCGATACGGTTTCTGACAAGATGTCTATCCGCAGGAATAAAGGGAGATCCAACCCGACACCTTACCTTAGTCAGTTAGAGAGACAGATGCCATGCCTAACATGTCCCCTTCCCCCGATTTTTTCCATCCCTAGTCCTTGCCGAAACAAGGCGAAAAGACTGACAGCTGTGACCTTGGGAGTTCGCAGTTTGGGAAGCTGGCACGCTGGGCCACTACCTAGGTACACAGCACACACACACAAATAAAAAGCCGAGCCGAAGAACGGAGCCACCTTTTAAGGAGTGGAAGGTTAGTGGAAGCGTATCCGACCCCCTTACTCCGTACCCGTACCGTTCATGCTCAATCCGATCGGGTGTTGCAATGGGACCTGTCAGGTTATCTTGCCGTCCATTCCTAGACCTTCCAGAAGTTCCAGAAGTTCCAGTCCATCCACCAGCCACCAGCCGTCCGCCGAGGCGGGCGGGATCTTCAGCTGCTGGAGAACCATCCATGGATACCTTCTTCCGTAGATGGGAGAGAGGGAAGGGTCTAGACCTTTGATGTACCCGTCCGTACTCTGTACCTTACCCAGCATTCAAATCTCGGCCTCCCCTCCGCTGCCTAGATGAAAGAGTGCTAGAGAAGCAGCCATCTTTTTGGCGCCATGGGCGGAATGGCTTCGCTGTTCTTGCCGTGCGGCACTCGGCATCCGCTGACACCGCAGGCTTGGGCGCCGGCTTGAACCGACCGTTTGTTTCGTTCTGTTCGACACGTGGAAGTGAACGGCATCACGCAGGATTAGACTTTGAGGGTGCATACGGCATACCGTTAGACTCGATCCCCTATTGTCTCCCACGCCCGCCACGCCATGCTGCATTTGGCGCGCCGTCATGCCTAGGTCCAGGCCGGGGTTGCGTTGGTGTGGGATGCGAGTGCGGCGCGCGTGTGTGTCTGAGTCTGTGTGCGTATGTGTGTGTGTGTGTGGAGGAAAAAAGTGTAGATGTTGTTGGGTCAAGATGGGATGAATGACTTGTTGACTTTGACACTTGAGAGAGAGAGAGAGAGAGAGAGTGTGTGTGTGTGTGTGTGAAGGGAGAGAAACGGAAAGGCAAAGAGCAAGAGAGACCGAGAGCAAACACCAACATCCTGAACACTCCAAGAAACTGCCCGGGAAAAGCAGAACCGACAGAAGGCAAGAAGAGAACGAGTGACTTGCAACGTGCCTTCCCTTTCTACTTCACAGAAGTACCTTCTTTCCCTTACCTTCCATTGCCTCCCTACCCACCTGCCTCTATATGCCTTGCCTGCGAACGTAAGGTAGGCACGCTCCTACTCTCTCCCATTCCTGCCTTCAGTCATTAGTGGAGTGGAGAGGTACTTGCCCTGTCTCCCAACCTGGAAGTGGAAGGCTTCCACCTTCCATTGCTCGACACACGACACACGACACACGACACTGCACTCTTATGCGCTCCTGGACCAAGTAGGCAAGGGCCGTGTCCTAGACCCAGATGGCCGCCTCCTTCCCGTGTCTTTCACGAATAAGCGGCTTCCTTATTCACCGGTTGCCCAAGCTCCATGCCCTTAGCGTCAACTTCATTCACCTTCGACGGCCCTCCTTTGCTGGATGTCTGTTTCCGACTTCAAAACAGCACTTTGCCTTATTCTCGAGCCTCTGTGCTCGTTGCAAGTTTGTCCGGAATCACATCACCGGACTCCTCTTGCTTCTCTTGCTGGTGGACTCGGACCCTTAACCCCACCAACTTCGACTTGTCCAACTTCACAATCCCAATGGACTCGAATCAGAGTACCTCAGCATGGACTACAACAGCTGCATGTGTAGCTATTGTAGTCCTCCTCATCTTGATAAGACCGCGGTCATCATGGGGCCATCCGCCATTACCTCCGGGTCCGCCGGGCGAGTTTCTCCTCGGCCACCTCCGTGTCATACCCAAAGAGAACACTGCTCAAACATACGCAGAGTGGGCAAGAAAGTATGGTGAGTCCGCTTCCTCCCTCTATTCAGCTCTTTGAGAGTTCTTCGCGATTAACGTAATATTAGATTCGGATGTCATTCACGTCAAATCTCTCGGCCAATCCATCGTGGTGCTCAACAGCGTCGAGGCTGCCAAGAATCTTCTCGATCGTAGGGGGGCCAACTACTGTGACAGACCCAGATTCACTCTGTTTGAGGTGTAAGTCGCCCCGACTTCGACCCTGAGCTATCTTGTCGGCATGCTGATGCAGGCTGTCCCCTCCGTAGCATGGGCTGGGGCAAGACGCTGACCTTCCTGCCCTTCGGACCCCGCTGGCAGATGCACCGAAAGCTGCTGCAGACCACTTTCAGTAACACTAATGTCCGGCAGTGGTACCCTCTGCAGGTCGCCGAGGCCCGCAAATCCGTTCATGACATCGTCAGCAACCCTGACAGCTGGCAAATGTCCATGAAAAGGTGAATCGCTTCTTGGCTTTGGCTGACTGTTGATTCGTAGCTGACCATTCCAGATTCGCCGTTGCCATCGTCCTCAAAGTGAGCTATGGAGTTGACGTTCATGAGGATAACGACCCGTACGTCAAGATTGCCCAAGATGCCATGTACGCGACTGGAAACGGTGGTGCACCCGCCAACAGCATCGTCGACATCTTTCCCCCTGGTAAGTTACGGATGTAACACAATTCCAACTTTCGCTCTTTTATTAACGTTGGCCTTTGTTATAGCTCGTCATTTGCCCGTCTGGCTTGTTCGAGACTGGTCGCTGAAATTCGCGCGAGAATGGGGATGGGCTATACGGAAGTTGCATGACGTTCCGTTTGCTGTTGCGCAGGAAGAGTTGGTGAGTGTATGCTCCTGGCCAAGTCCACGCCCGCAGCACTGACAAGTCAAGGCTCGCGGCAAGGACAGCCCTTCCTTCGCACATAGGTTATTGGAAACCTATACTTCCAACGCCAAGAGAGGACTCGACAATGAATGGTCACTTGACGACATCAAGGGAGCAGCAGGCGCCATCTTCATCGCAGGGGCCGACACGGTAACTTTTGCTCCTCAAGGATAACACTCTGATATTTGATACACTGCTGACTCTGACTTGCACCAGACTTGGGCCACCATGGTCGTCTTTGTTTTGAACATGGTTCTCCATCCTGAGATTCAAGAAAAAGCGCAGGCCTGCATCGAGCGCGTGGTTGGGCTTGATAGACTGCCCGATCTTTCAGACAGGCCATCCCTCCAATATATTGACCATATTGTTCAGGAAATCTACCGGTAAGCTTCCTCTTGCTACTCAGGTCGAGACCCACGTGGGATAGCTTCTGACGAGAAAGAAACAGATGGTCACCATTGGCACCGTTAGGAATTCCCCACAAATCTCTCGAGAACGACGTCTATAACGGCATGTTCATCCCTAAAGGGTAGGTTCACTTGCCCCCCTTTCACCCCTCAACGGGCCGAAAAGTTGCATGCTTCTAGAAGGAAGTACTGACTGCTTTCCCCAGGTCTATTGTCTTCTTCAATTCAAGCGCAATGACTCAGGACGAGCGGGTGTACAAGGACCCCAAGTCTTTCAACCCGGACAGATACCAACCAGAGTCTTCTGGAGGCCGTGGTGAGCCCTTGCCACTTGGTCAGTTTGGCTTCGGACGCCGAGTCTGCGTTGGACGCTTCCTGGCAGACAACAGTGTCTGGATAGCAGTTGCAACAATGCTTGCCACTCTCAAGATTGGTAAGAAAGTCGGACCAGATGGCCAAGTCATGGAGCCCAAGATTGCCTTCACCAATGGTGGAACCTGGTGAGTTTGTGTGCTGCTCCATAAGTGTCGAAACTTTCGAAATTCTGACGTCAAACCGCTAGTCATCCGGAACATTTTGAATGCTCCATAACACCACGCAGCCAAAGGGCACAGGAGTTGCTGCGACAGTCGGTCTCTTCTTGAAGAGCAAAGGATAAAGTGAGGCGGTCTAGCCCTCATGCCAACACACATTTACTAAGCTTTTAGGCTCCGGTTTAATGAAACCGTGCGCAGTCGATTTCGAGGGGGAGCCTGGACATTCAAAGTACGCATAGGAAATCCCTTGCAACCAATTGACGACTGAGTAAGCCGCGCTTTTGAAGTCCAAGACTTAACTCTCAACAACGGCTGTTTTTCGTAATCAAGTCAAGGAAGACCAAATGGACAAATGTTGAAGCCAACATAGCCGATGTTGCATCTGGACCGACTGGAGGAGCCACGTCCACGTCAATAATGCGGAGCCTGACACCATTTCTGAACAGGATTCTGAAAAATGGGATTTTGTCATCCGGAACTTCTCCTAGACGTAGGGGGTTTTGCCATCTTCCTTTGTCGATCTTATCAACTTCAGAAGGACGGGCTGCAGTCATATCAAGCCTGCGTCAGGGCTCCTCTCAACGAGGGTCCGGATCCGCCTCGAGACGAGTCTGATTGGAGCTTTGCCCACCACCAAGAAAGAAATATCTCTTGGCCCCAACTCGACGTATCCAACTTCTCCATGAGAACGCATGACGGAGATGAGTTTTCATCTTGTGCGAACCGTCACTCGACGTTACGGTGAAGAGGATAACGAGCGCTTGGAGAGTCATGTACACAAGCGTTTTGAGCGACGTTATTCGTCCCGTGTCAAACCACTGCATAAGCCATGTCACCCTCCATCCAAACCCTGACGGCAGGGAGAAAAACGTGGCACCGACTAGAATCTTTGTGACGGTAGGAAGGAGAAATTCCACGAGGCATCACGCAGTCAGTCAATGACCCGATGTCCGCGTCGAAAACGTGGCAGACAGCGGGCAGACTACACAATGTCCTGTGCTAGCAGTGTCTCAATAGTCGAAACGCACCAAACTTTCAGGCTCGCACCGCATGAAGCTACCACTCAGCACTGGCTGCTGCGATACTATTGTGAGGGTTTTCGAGATGCCCTATCGACAGGGTCACGACTCGCGGAAGTGGAAAAGAGCGGGAAGGAAAGGCTCTTTCTGCATGGAAAGATCTGGATCGCCAGCCGCGATGGAACGACTTAGATCTGGAATTACGCCAAATCCGCCGTATTGAAGGAATCATCGCAAGTCATGAGCCACGCGATGGACTGGGATCAAGCCCCCCGATCCTCCCTTGGGGGCTGAAGTCCAGGCGCGACGCTATTGACCATCCGCCCTCCATTACGGGAACTCGGGGTTCGTTTCCTTTGCCTAAACGGGACGCAGATGCAGCTGATAGCTTGCTTGTACACATTTGACGTCGGCCAAGGATAGTGAAGACGCGACTTCTGCGTAATGGTCATCGTGACGGCCCGGAGTAAGTCATAGCCGTACAAGCTCAGCACGCCGTCGCAGACTTCTCAATCACTTGATGCGCGAAGCAGCGCGACTAATGATACCTGACCGCAAAAGACGGAAATTTCTTTTACTGGGCTTGGCCTGACGGTCACCGAAGCCGTCCGCTCGAGCCGAGTCCTAGGCTGCAAGGACTAGAGGCTGGTCAACCCGACAAGTGCATCTCGTCCCGAGGGAGGTGTACTAGGTGACAGGGTCTTGAGCTGTCAGAGTTTTGGTGAATGCTACACCTCTATAGGCAGCTTTGCTTGGCCCGGGCAGTCCGTCGAGATGATAAGAAGTGCCGTCGGGCGTTGCAGGCACGTGCGGCCAGACCTTGAGACAGTCCGACAAGCGGATTTCCAAGCGATAACGAATAAGTGAGTGAGCGACGGGAGCGTGGGAGAGTACAAGGAAGGAGACACCGATCAGGCTCCATTGCAACAGCACGGCCAAAACCGGCGGGAGAAGAATTCCAGAATGCCGCCAAGTCCGGACGAAGGAACCCGACGACTTGGGGCTACGGTCAGGCAGTTAGGAATGTGCCAATGTGCCGTGGTGCGTTTGACGGTGCGTTTGATGGTGCGAACTCTACGCTGTTTCCCCCAAAGCAGCGGCGGCGGTGGGATGAGATGGGCTGAAGGTCAGGCACTAGGGAAAAAAGAGCCCTAACAAGTGAAGAGCGGCGGCGTTTGCGGACTTGTTGATCGACCGCCAGGCTGACACTAACATAGGCGGGAACCTAATTACCCTTCTTTCGTCGTGAACTTGAGAGAGGCTGTCTGTGGGTAATTAAGTAGGTAGTGCCTTGCTTTCCTTTCCTCGATATAGGTAGGCTACCCCATACCCCAAATTGACGAGGCTTGCATTGGATTGTTCGATGACTCCAACACACACCTCATGTGAGATCATCTGAGGAGGAGCTTGAGAAGGGAGCCTTGAGTTGCAGAGTCAGGTCACCACCACCTTGGGCAGCTAAGGCAGCTCAAGTTACCTAAGGGTAGGTAGGCAAGCTGGCAAGGTCTTTGAATGTGAGGACGAGGTAAGGCAGCTTGGACCAGGTAGATGAGGAATGGAGTGGACGGGGGGGGGCAGGAGGTGACGGGGATTCTGTGAGGTGCTTTACAAAGCAACTCAATCATAATTCCCACGCAAGCAAAACCCAATGCAGAGCTTGGCCCTTTTTTTTTTGCTTCCTTTTTGCTTGTTCGCTCCCCGTCCGTCGTCCCCTTTGCACTTGGACTTTGGGCTTCAGCCCTTTCATCCTTCCCCCTTCGGGCACTTCCCCAAAAATCCTTGCGGCACCAGCCAGACTCCCACAGTGACGTTTTGACACACTCTTGCAAGTTGCCCCTCACTAAAAAAGCTGCTTTCTTTCCCCATCTGTTTCGCGCTTGACGAAGCAACCCCCACTTGGGATTAACTCAGGATGGGTACCGTGGCGGTGGTAAGACTGGCGTGGAAACCCCGAAAGAAGCCTTGAGAGAAGAATGGATTGCAAATAAAATTTGTGTGGTTGTGGAAATGAAAATATAGCAGCTCGTGGAGTAATGATACCCGTTGTCTTGGCTCTTGGGAACAATCCGCTGTGAGTTGCAGTCCAGTTCCCTTCACAACCCTCGCTCGTTCTCTGCAACTCCACCCCTCATCCATGCTCGCTCCCATCTTCCCCCCATGCCGCACCCCCCTTGTCCCGGTTGACTCTTCCGTCCGCTTCCTTTAACCTTTGGAGCGAAACGGTGCTTTCGAACTGTAGCTGCTGCTGGTGCTGGTGCTGCGGGGGGTTGGGATCGTCATATCAAGGAACGACCTTCGACCGTTCGTAAGTATAACGATGACTCGAGCCGTTTCGGAGGGCGAGAGCTTGCATACGGGCGACTCGTAATCCCAACGTTAAATATTGTCGCCAATCTGGGCCATCATCGCCTGCCAGAGCCGCTGACGCTGTTGTTGCTGCTGCTTGCTGTACTCCGTACTCCCTTCCATATTGCACAAACTGTGCATCGCCCCCGAGACAAGGAGACAAATCCATGGGCCAATGTCTGTCCGTTCGTCGTCGTCTCATTTGCGTCAACTGTACTCTTCGACTCCTGCAACAAGTCTTTTCGGATGGTTGTCGTCCACATGGTCCTGCTTTGCTTATAGTCGTCAATCGAACTCCATTACAATACCCGTGGAAACAGGCACGGCCGCCTGGGTCCGATTCAGTCCGGGCCGAATACACCGAATATACAGACTCTTTCCAACATTGCGGCAAGAGCCTCCCGACCTCCTTCCCTCTACGTGTCTGTTGCGAGGGGGCATTCACTACTCTGACTGCGGCGTCGGTCCTGCCTTTTTATTTTCCGAGACGACAGAGGCTTTCTTCTTCATCCACCGAGAACCGGAAGCTCGTGGAGAAAAACGGTTTATTCTCCAAGAACCAAAAAGTCGGATTTTCGGGAGTTCCCCCGCTTCGACAAAGTGCCCTCGGTCGGTTCAGGCCGTCCAATCTCGACCTGCTCCCCAATCGGTTTCCAAGGCTGCGTGCTTCTAGGCGTATCTTCCAGGAGTGGTTGGCCAGCTTCCGCAAAAGTCCAAATTTGGTGCTCACTTCGCTAGGGATACCGCAAAAGGACCAGTGCAGGTGACAGCCGCCCATACGTCCCCTTAATCCCGCATCCAAGAATCGCTACCATGTCATCCCGAACCTCGATCACGCTGAAGGAACAGGCTGACACGTACGATATGGAGAGTCAGCCTCCTGTCTCAAAGGGTCATGGCGGCATTACCCATTTGCTGACCGTCCAAGATGGCGATCAAGACCGGACGGAGACGAAAAGAAATCCGAAATGGTATCAGCGGCTGCTAGATGCTGGCGTGGAGGAAAACGGGATCCAACCAGTGCCTCTCAATGAGCGGACCAACACCAACTACAGCAATCTCTTCACCGTTTTCTTCACAAGTCTGCTCTGCTTATTGCCGTAAGTGCTTCAACAACTCCGAGGAGGCTGGAGACTTTTGTTTTGCTGACACCGGCGATAGGATCCCAACCGGCGCCTTAGCCACAGCTCAGCTCGGACTGAGTCTGAGGGATGCCTCGCTGGTCATCATTTTCTTTGCCTTGTTGACCTGTGTGCCTCCGGCATTCATGGGTATCGCTGGCTCCCATACCGGACTCAGGCAGCTTGTCCAAGCTAGGTATTCGTTTGGGTAAGTCGATATCTCTGCGAGGAACGACTTGATGCGCAAACTGACGGTTCGGATGGTTTAGATACTATCTCGTGGGCATTCCTCTCCTTCTCAACGCCGCGACTGTGACCGGATTCTCTCTCTCGTCTTCGATTGTTGGCGGTCAAACTCTCGCAGCCGTTAACCCGGGACACATTGATGTGAAGATCGGCATTGTCATCGCCTGCCTTGTAAGCTTTGCAGCTTCGTTCATTGGGTACCGCGCGCTCCATATGTGGGAACGCTGGCAATGGCTTCCGAACCTCGTTGCAATTGTCATAGCCGTAGGTTGCGGTGGGAAACACCTGTGGAAACAGGCCGAGACGTCCCCTCCAACAGCAGCTCAGATACTCAACTATGGAGGTCTGATGGCCGGTTACTTCATAACCTTTGGCGGTACTGCATCGGACTTCACTGCCTACCACAACCCCAACAAGACAACCAAGTGAGTAATGCCTATTTCCAGGTTAGTCACACTGCTGACAATTTTCAGGTTCAGGATATTTTCCTACATATACCTCGGGATCTTGACACCCTCGGTCCCGCTGCTTATCTTGGGAGCGGCGATTGGAGGTGCTCTCAACAATGTCCCCGAATGGAAGTCGGGATGGGACACGTATGGAATTGGCGGCGTAATGGCAGCTATGTTGGCTCCTGCTGGCGGCTTTGGCAAATTCGTACTGGTTATCCTCGCATTGAGTGTGATCGGCAACATCGCGACGTCCATGTACTCCGTTGCTCTCTGTATGCAGCAGATGCTCCCGGTCTTTACAAAGGTCCCTCGCATTGTCTTTGTCGTCGTTGCGCTTGGAATCATGATTCCCATGGCAATTCGCGCTGCTGAATCGTGGGCCGATTCTCTCGAGAACTTCTTGGGGTTGATCGGTTACTGGGCCGGCTGCTTCGACGCCGTCATTATTGAAGAACTGGTGTTGTTCCGTCGAATGAACTACAGCTCGTACGACCCTGCAGCGTGGAACGTTGCCCAGCTATTGCCTTCCGGACTCGCTGCCCTTGCAGCGAGCCTGCTAAGCTTCGGGCTCGTCATACCAGGGATGGACCAAGCCTGGTACACGGGTCCGATCGCGAGAGTGACTGGAGATATTGGCTTCGAGTCCGCGTTAGTCCTGACGGCAATTTTCTATGCACCCTTGAGATGGCTGGAAATCAGGAAGCGAGGACACGTCTAGGACGACTAGGTGTTCGAGCGGCAGAGCAAAGAAGGAAAGGGGGATATACCCAGGCAAGCGAGGTATGATAGACCGTATTTTTCGTTAAGCACCCTGGTGGGGGGAAAGCAGGGGCATGTTGATATCTGCAGGGTCCTGACGGGATAGGGCAGTTTCGACAGTTAACCAACAATGGCACAGTTTCTTAGGCAATACGGCGGGTGCGTCGCGGCGGCGGCTTCTTGCTTGACCATTCAATGGTGATCGGCCAGTTATAGTCCTCCATGTCGGCCTCTGAGGTATGCCGCTTGCATCACCATATTTGATCCGGAGCCTGGCTAGTGTGAGCTGATGGCCACTTCCATTGGCCGTGCTACTCAGTCGAAAGGGGAATAATTACCTAGGCGTCTAGACTTGGTTGACCGGAGAGAACTATGTCTTCACCAAACTGGTGCCAAGCAACATCTGTGAGCCTAGCGGCTGGCACAGGCATGCCCTCAGTATTCTGGACTCGGTCGGGAGATACCACAACACCGCCGCGTCCAAGCCAAGTAGGCGCAATAGTTACGATGACTCTATCAACGAGGCGGTGGCAGGCAGGGTCAAGGAGCGAGTTGATCACCTGCCCGCCGCCTTCGATCATGACGCTTTCCAGACCTTCGGCGTGAAGAGCAGAGAGGATCGAAGGCCAATCAAATCGCGGTTCGGTCTTCCGAGATTCGAGGATGACGAATTTACCGCCATGGGCTTCCAGAATTGCCTTTCGTTCCGGATTGACGGCAGACGGGCCAACTAACACAAATGGTGCCAAGCCGTTGTTGGCGCGGGCGACTTCGAAAACTTTGTTGTGGTCGGTGAAGTCCCATCGGCCACGAGGATCCAGGACAATGGGGCGTGGCTGGGCGTCGAGATTTGCACCGTCGATGCGGCAATTCAAGCCTGGGTCATCGGCGAGGACAGTCCCAACGCCAACGAGAATGGCGGCATGGTGACGACGAAGATGGTGTGTCATAGCCTTGGACTCGGAACCCGAAAGGCGCGTACGCACACCAGGGGCGAGGGAAAGGGAAGAATCCAGTGATGTTGCAAAGGTCAGAGTCACAAAAGGACGGCCCTGGGATCTCGCTGACTGGATGGCCGATTCTGACGGTAGACGAGGAGCCAACCAGGCCACGTCTGGGCCCGGGATCTGCAGAGTTTCCGCCATTGTCGTTGAAGTGGCCTTTTCCGTGGGCAGAAGGGCGAATTACTCCGGGAACCAAGAGGGCTGCACGTACGGATACGGGTTTACGCAAGTAACAACTCCCTGCGTAGCGCACGAGGTGATGCTATGGCTATCGCAGTACTGGCCAGGTGCCCCCTAGTCGTCTCAAAGCCTAGACTGTTGTCCCTGTTCAGAGTGCCAACGGCGATCAAGGTAGGCTGCCTATCGAAAGGGCGGTCTAAGAAGCAGTATCGCTGGCTATGCTGTCCTTGTCGAAAAGTAGGATCTTTGCACAGCGGCGATGTTGGCTGATTGACTAAGGTAGATGGTCGGCGAAGCAGGCCCACCAGTCAGTTGACTGATGGCTGGAAGTAGTCGGGATGAAGTTGAGCAAGAACCCGAAACCCAATGGCCTCCAGAAGGCTTGAGTGACAAAGCCTAACCCTAAAAGGGCACGTATTACAACTATTGGGACGATAAAAGGTTACAGATGCCTGCCGGGAGAAATTCCAAGCAACTTGGACGGCTAGGCCCGTTGTTGAAGTCAGCAGTCGCAGGACCGCAAGAGGCAATCGACGTCGTTGTCGTCTCGGGACAATGATTGTCACCTTGGTAAACCTTGAGTGAGGTGATGGCCAAGGATGCTATGGTAGAGGAGAGCGGACGCGCGGTTGATGACAAGAGTTGCCGGGGGGGGGGGGGCTGAGAGCCTGAGATGGCAACAGTCGTGTCGATGTACCGTGACCAAGTGCGAGTATCCGACACAATTATGGCTGTATTCGTACCGTCCTGAGGCGAACCAAACAGGATTTGAGATGTTTTGTGCTTTTGGACTCTTGAGGAGAGATCGGCAAGATGTGGATGCCCTGGTGATCTGATTCGAAGGCTTTCGTTTCCCTACAGACTAGGTGCGGCGGAGAGTTGTCCGCAGAGATGGTCCTTGCTACTGCCACCACTCAGGTTGAGTCAAGGGCTACCACAGGCGCGATGTGGTATCGATTGTCAACGACACGAACAAGCTGGATGACAGAGAAAGGCCGAGACGCCAGGAGAATGTTTTAGGCGAGATGTTGATGAGTCTGTTTCGACCAGTGCAAGTAACACGTCGTCGGAAAGAGATTTATGAGTTGACTCAGGTGAGCTAGCAGTTTCTGTGTCAGAGGATGAAGTGGGTGGGTGGATGACTGGTCTGGTTGTGATTTCCGTGGTAGAGGGGAGAAGAAAAAAAACCAGACGGGATGGACTTGGGCTGGACGATGCAAGTGCTATTCGTGTGGGACATGCAGCGGAGGGCGCGGGCGAAGTTGCGTGAAGTTGATGGGAAGGTGGGAAGACAAGGGAGGAACTCAGGTAATCAATCACTCAGCTGCAAGTGCAATGTTGGTGAGGGCCAGAGCCACTTCTGTGCCAATTGCCAATGCCAATTGCAGGATGCAGATGCGGTGCCACTATGCAAGTGCAAGTACAGGTGCAAATGCAGATCCAACGCAGGTGAAGGACCAGGAGCTGAAGTTTTGATAATGTGGGTTGGTGTTGACTTGGGCCTGGGTGATTCGTGAAGCGGGTGCGGGTTGAAGATGAGGTGGGCTGGATGACATGGGAAATAGTGGAAGGGCAAGATGCAAGTGCTGGTGGTGGAGTGCTGCCCTGGAGTGTGTGTGTGTGTGTGTGTGTGTGTGTTTGTGTGTGTGCAAAAGACGGGAGGCAGTCACGATGGATGATTGGATCTTGCACCTGCCTGCCCTGGCGACGACACAGACACAACCTCTCTTTCTCCGAATTCTCCAATCTCCAACGTTGCGCCCCAGGCCAACAACACCCAACACTCAACTTACCCGACCTTAACACGGCAATACCTCAAACCCCTTGACACGATACGGAGTACTACACAGTAAGGTGGTCGTTTGCCGCCTCACCCCCAAAGCCCAAAAGCCCAAGCCGCAACGCGCCCCAATGTGCAACGTGAGGTGCCAACGTCTTTTCGTTCCTTGCCCTTCCAGGTCACCAAATCGCAAGTCGCGCATCCCTCATCGCTCATCGCCCATCGGTATCCAATCTGGTGGACCTCAGAATAGCCGACAGCCCCACTACAACGTGCGTTTTCCTCGGGAGGTGGACACTTGGAATGGATCCTCTTCAAGGACCACCGACCAACTTGGAGTCCATGATTCCTCACTAAGGTGCTGCGTCCTTCGTACTTACACGGTACCCTACCCTACCTTGCCTTGTTAGCCCCGCCTCTTTGGGACCCTGACTTACAAGTTGCACAGTATTGGGACGATCCAGACACAGGTACTCCTACACCGTATGGAACATATACCTTATACTACAACAAAATTTCAGTCTCCAGCTCGACAGGGCCACCGCAAGGCAGAGTCAGGTCTGATCCGCCAAGCCCATGGAGACTTCAATCATCCAAGCCTTGGAAACAACACGCACATGGTCGTGAGGCTGTGACGGCGCGCGCGCGCAACGTGTCCTTGGACCCAACTTGCAACCAGCACACCACCCACTCTGCCGGCACGGCGGGTATCTATCCATACTTGTACATACGAATACACCCACGGAACTGAATGACCAAGAGCCAGAAAGTGAAGGAGAAAGAGAGAAAGAGAAAAGGAAAAGAAGGACCACTCACTTACACTAGACAGGCGCCTAGCCTCTAGTCCCCCAACATATCTCTCATCTACGGATATTACCACCACCTCATTTCCCCCTCGAGTCGTACGGAATTACGAAGCTATGACGAGAAAACCATCAATAAGTACGCTAGACAACGGTTTCCGAGGCGGGCCTTTTCCGCCACAGGTGTCGTCCATCACCCCCTCCGATATGGCGGGTGGGCGGCTGAAGTCGTCTTTGCCTTTCCCATGGCCTCAATCCCATCCCTAGCCCGGCCTCCCCTCCGCTTACACCGCCCAGGGCTGCCCCTCCCGACCATGAACTCTAAACTTCGGCGTTACAGTGGGGGGAGGGGGGGCATGCGAGGTCGACTTGCAGTCTGCAAGTTGCGGGCAGGCAATTCCGCATACACGGCACCATCGAGCACTGACCACGGCTCCGAACCCTCTGTTTTCTCTCTTCGCAACCGCCGTGCCAAGAAAAGGCGTCATGGTCCAAGGTCATGGGTCTCTCATAACAGCATAGGCTTTTACAAAATCAAGATTCGCCAAAATTCCGCCCCTAGACTGACAGGGCATCTCTACATCTCTGTGCGCCTGCCTGCGTAGCCTCCGGGGCTCTGGACTCTCTTCGCTGACGATACTCCGGATTATCCCTACTTGCTTTGGCATCCAGCCATGTAAGTCGAGATGCCTCACTTTTTAGCCTTTCCGACTTTCTGGTTTGGTCTGCTGCCGGATACTCCCAACTCGGGCAGAGCTCGCAACACCCAGGCCATCACCTGCAGCCGCCGACACGCCATTTCGGGCCACTTGGGCCGGACGTTTCCCTGGAACTCCCCGGCTGCCCTTGCGCTTCGCATCGTTACGGGATACTCGCTTCCTCCAATACCCAGCTTGTGGAGGTTATCCTGAAGTCAACCACCTATCACATGGCATCAAGTGGGCAAGTGGGCTTCAGCATGCAGCATGTAGTTGCACTGGTAGTTGCACTGGTAGTTGCAATCGCAGTTGTAGTTACACTCACGGTTGACGACCGAGACACTACACTACCCTACGCACCCTCCGCCAGCTGCATCTGCCTGTTGTACAACCTAGTATCGGCCGGAGTTGGAGGTCCTCTCGGGCGGTTGCAACGCAACACACGCGAGGGAAGTCTGGAGTCTCCCGAAGCCACTTTACGCGACTACGCCGCATGGAGTTTGGCGACTGTTTAGGCCACAAGGTTAGCAACCATCGCTTTGCCTGTTAGACTCTCGACCTTAACCTCGACCGCCTTAGCTTCCCCCTTCGTCACACACATCACCAGACGGACTGCAATACTTTCTCCTTCCATCCCATCATCCCGCTCATCTCGTTTGTCTCCATTGGCTCGGTCGTAACTCCGTCTACGACTTGGAGTACCTATTTCATCCCACCTGCCTCTGTCGCTTGGGGCAACATCCCGGTTCCCGAAAAGTGCCTAGGCGCTCCGAACTGGGCCTTTTAAGCACCCTCTTGTGCACAGAACCACGTTACAAGAATCACTGCCTCACACGCCACCAGACTCCTTTCATACCTACTTTCTTCGGATGCGGGGAGCCTTCACAGCGGTATTAGTTTCTGAGGCAGATATCCTGGGAAAGTTTACTTGCCCAGGCAATCTTCGATCACGCTCGATTATTGCCCATGTCGTCGAACGGGCCGTGGACGAACCCTCCATCACAAGATGAGCTCACCCGAGAAGTCACGCCATTATTGCAGGATGTCTTGCTTTGCGTTCTGTTACCAAGTCGGACCTCACGCCCAAAGCACCAAAAAATCAAAAAGGGCAACAGGGTCGTCCAAGGGTTATCGGTGATCGATCACATCGTTGCAGCGGGCGCACTTAGATAGCTCGGCGCCTTCCAGGAGAAACTTGCTCAGTGCTAACAACGCAAACTGATGACAACACAGAATACGAGAAAGCGAGCTTTACTACAAACAGACAAAAAACTACAATTGAAGCGACCGATATGAAGTCAAATAGGGGGGGCAGGTACAGGGAGTGAGGGACTCAACGCCAAACGAGCCTCTAGGCCTAGGCCTAGGCCAGCCTGACAGCGGCTTGTGCCATAGGCGATCGGCAGGGGCCTCTCTTAAGAGCGTGCCTAGCGCATATGGACATTGCCCTTGGGTATTCCGTCGTCACAGACTACCTATCCGTGGACTGTGAGGGTTGGATGGCCCTTGCATCAAGCTCCCCACGTATGCAACGCACTTTTGGTACCAAGACAACTCGTCCACATCCGAATATAATACCTGAAAAGGCATGCTTCGGAAGCTCGGCCAAGTATCAGTCCGAAGAAGCTGACGGGCTTATTCCGTGCCTCACTCTGCTTGGAGCCGCCGGCGACGGTGAAAGCGCAATAGGTAGTTCCACGACTACTGTACCATACGATGTTGGCCTAGGCCTATTCGTGTAGCGGATACAGTGCGCAAAGATCCGACGATCACTCACTGCCGAATCCCAATCTAACTACCATCTGGGGCTAGCGATTGCCGGCCGCGAGTGGATGGTTTATCTTTGCGCGCCACATAGAGTCCAGTCGTGGCCTTGCTTTTGTCAGGGATATGGCACCTGTCAACCGGGCGCTTTCAACTCCTTCATTCTATATCCGTACATTCAGGTTTTCAGTACGGAGTACGGATACTTTTCAAGTACGTTGCCCCATTCGCGGCTCGCCATGGAATCTTGCGTCTGCCCTGCCCCCTCTCCGCCACACCGGGTCACGAGCAAAACCTCCGGAACATACGGGAGTGAAGGTCCAATCCGTAGGTGCCGGGCATGGCCGTAGATGGCCCTTTCGTCCGCGATTTCAAGACATCTCACGTCTTCAGAGGCAGAGATGTGTTGGAAATCTAACACGGGATCCTGGCTCGGATATCGACCGACTGATCTTGCAGAACGGCGGGTGCCCCAGACGGGAAATGGGAATTAGCCAGCCCGGACCAAATTGCGGTCATCAACTCGACCGTTGTGCGAGAAATCGGGCCTGCTTTAACCTGATATTTCCAACCAAGGCCGCCCTGTAGCGCAAAGGCGAATGATGGCCAAAGCTTACATCGACCCATTCTCAGAAGGCATTGCACTAGTGTTTCGCTCTTCTGGTGACATCCTGAGATCTGGCCAATACCCGGAGGGGTTTGTTCAGTTTGAGTTGCAGCAAATCGGTGTTCATGGTGGGGGGCAGAAGGGAGGGGGAGACGAGGCACACCAGATGCCCAGGAACCCAGTTCTTGTGCTCCCGCATGCCGGCAGGCAATGGGCGGGACGTTCCCTCGCCCGGCCACTTGGGAATACGTACCGACTGTAAGTACTGCTGGTACCGAAACTTCCATGAAATAGACCTGTCTATGATTGCGCTCTGCGCGACCGAACGCTGGTCCGATTGATCTCTTTTAGTGTCATCGGATGCAAGGGCTTGCTCTCGAGCCAAAGTTAGTTGTGTCCGTCAATAGTGACCGGTTGGGGACGCCACAAATGTCGTTTGTGGAACATGGCATTTATCACTCGTGATGCCCGTCTACTTCCGTCTGTGACAACACGGCCGTTGCAATTCACAACACTCACCAAACCTCCTTGAGAAGCCATTAACGTCTAGATTCGCTTCTGTTCTCGCCTTCCTTTACACACCAACTAACCATGGGAGCCATCATCCCCAACTCTGAGAGGTATCCTATGGCCTCAGACCCCGTACTGACAATGAGCGCCTCTGCCCAACACGCTTTCACTACAGACTCCTCTCCAGAGGATCCGTATATCTACCAAGTTGGATTTGGGAATAGGTTCTCTTCTGAAGCCATGTAAGTTGGCACTTCCCAATTCTTGATCAAGAGTCTGAGTTCACCAATAAGTCCTGGGACTCTACCTCGATCATGCAATGTACCGCAAAGAGTCAAGTACAACCTTTATTCTGAGCAGCTCAACGGTTCTACTTTCGTTGCCTCTCGAACCGACATCCAAAATGCCTGGTTCTACCGGATCTTCCCATCTGTGGCTCACGGAGATATCTCAAAGAAGCCACGAAACCCAGATGTAAGTCATTTCTCATTCCTTAGACCCCCTTCCCTCTACCCATAACGCAACCACCTTCAAACTGGGCCCACCCCTGACAATTTTTTTGCCATCAAGATTGAGTCAAGATTCACATCTGGGAATGAGAATATCGAGTTTGTTCCCGGAGGACTCTGTTGGAGAGCATTTTCGCTGCCAAAGACGGATGGGCCGGCTATCGACTTCGTCCAGGGGCTCAAGACGATAGTTGGAAATGGCGACTCGACGACCAAGGATGGCTTGGCTGTACACGTGTACGCTGCAAATTCTTCAATGAAGAAGCGCGCATTCTGCAGCAATGATGGCGACATGCTTTTCGTGCCTCAGACTGGCAGGCTGGACATTCAGACAGAATTCGGGAGGTGGGCAGTCACCGGTTCCAGTCGGTGACGAAAATCTGTTGACGATCTTTCTAGAATGATGGTTCGGCCTGGCGAGTTGGCAGTGATCCAGAGTGGCATCCGCTTCAAGGTCGGGTTGCCGGATGGTCCGGCCCGGGGTTGTGAGTCATTTGACGATATTCATATGCATGAGGAGACATCCAACTGATGGGCTTAGACATCCAAGAGATATTCGGGAGCCGGTACGAGCTGCCAGAACTGGGGCCGCTCGGAAGCAACGGGATGGCTTTACCTCGCGATTTCGAGTTCCCCGTCGCTTCCTTTGACATGGATACGTCGGAGTGGGAGAGTAAGTCTGCCCTATCAGTTTTGCCAAGACGTGACCACACTGACTGACGCGGCGTGTTAAGTCGTGTATAAACTGGCTGGAAAGTTGTGGTCCTGCAAACAAAACCACACGCCCTTTGACGTGGTCGCATGGGACGGCAAGTAAGAGAAACGCCCGCTCCAAGACCCTCTCCCCCCATTTTACTCCATTCAGGTGCTCACATCGTCTGACAGCTATGTGCCTTTCAAATATGCCGCCGAGAAGTTTGTCAACGCCGCTTTCGTGGACAAGGACCAAGCCGACCCCAGTTTGTACACTGTCTTGACGGCGAAGTCCAAGATGCCCGGTATACCCGCAACAGATGTCATGTTCTTCACGCCAAAGTGGTCTTCGGCGACGAATACCTTTCGACCTCCCGTACGTTGTGTTTCTTTTTTTTTCCCCGGGGTGTTGCAAATGTCGTGGCTAATGGGATGTAGTATTATCATCGAAATATGTCGACGGAGGTTGTGGGAATCGTGTATGGCGGTTACAAGGGCACCAGTCGCAACCTGGAAGCTGGCGGCCTGAGTTTTCAGTCGAGCTTCATGCCGCATGGAGGTACGAATACAAGAGGTTCCGATCCTCAGACAGGAAGCCAGATACTAATAAGGGGCTACAGAAACCCATGAGGCGTTTGTGCAAGCGACTACCAATGAGCTGAAGGCTCAACGCTTGGGAGAAGGCTTTCTCGGTAAGGATAGCGAGGGGAAGCATTGACACCAATTGCACCGCGGCTGACATTCTTGTGCAGGTTTTATGTTCCAAATTAGCACCCACTGCGCGGTGACGCAATATGCGTTGGAAAGGAGCGGAGTGCTGGAAGGTAAGGAAGAGGGTTCCGATTTGGAGAGAACGAAGAGGGACATGGCCTAACGAGCGTTGATAGTACCGCCGGCATCTCTTTGGGACTCGATGCAAGGACACTTTCTCGACCACGCCGAAGAAGTAAACAGCGACTTGCGAAAACGAGGACTGCCGACCCTCGGGGCCACCCTGAGCCATTGAAAGCGAAACGAAGCGACGTTGATCCATCCATCATCACTACCTACTGAAAGCGGGTTTCTTGATTTCCCACCTCCTAAGCCTTGCGTGCCTTTGGTCTTCCAACACATCGTCTCTTCTCCATTTGATCCGAAATAGCGAAGCGATGCATATCAATAACAACATTTGCCAGCGATTTCTGTAAGGTTTTCGACAGTTGTGGATACATGGTCAACAATTCAGTTGTGAGTGAGGGAGTTTTTGTCGGAAGGGATTTCCCTGATTTTTTTTCTTCTGTGGTTTCCTACCCAGGCGGCGGTGACACGAGCGGAGGCGTGTTAGTGAGGTAGGACGTTTCGGGGACAAGAGCTTTGGTCGTGTTGCCACCATGATGAGGAACACTGGGTAGGATGATATTCTAAAATAAGACCTGGAAAACAAAGCTAGAAGTTCCGGTTTCGGAAGACATCAAGATTTTCGATATTAATCGGATATCGTGAACGTGAGAAAAACATGCAGTGGGTGTTGTGGTGTGGTGTACTCCGTACCGGTGAAATTCCGGCTGCGTGATGAGAGACGCTACTTAGTTGACCATTTCATTGTCATTGTCAGCAACATCCGATATGGTGTAGTGGCCAACATGATGCCCTCTCATTAACTTGCGAGGTTAGGCATAGCCCCGAGTTCGATTCTCGGTTTCGGAACTTTTGACATTTTGGTTGAATGTTTTTTAATCTGTTTTGCTCGAATAATTGATTGGGCACTTGATTTTTGGTGAAGATTATGTTTGTGCTATTGATCTTTTGCCTCCATTGACCACAGTGTTATGTATAACCGGCCCTCTTGACTTACAAGCAGCGAGTACTGCATGTCCCTTTCCTGTGTTTGTTTCTATGGCGGGCGCATATCTAAAGTACCTTACTAGGGAACTCATTACACATTTAAGACACTAATCTATGCCTTGGCTGTGTTGGTGTTGTAAATACTCAGGCTATATCTTCATTCTTCTATGACATCAACCTGGAGCCGTGGTCTGGCCAAGTCAAACTTCCACCGACCCTGGAGTCGGTCCCTCATGATAGCTTTACCACGTACTAATGAGGAATACAGGAAGTGGAAGATTATGCTCTATCCTGTTCTTCCTTTCTTCCTTTCTGAATCCTCAAGATTCCGCTGGCGTTCTCTCCTGCATATGCGTGGCTTGCCTCTCGTTTCCTTGTTCCAGGTTACATTCAATACCTTGCATGCGTTATCAAGTCAAAAGTTGAAGTAATGTTGGGGGACCTGAGAGTAAATGTGCGGAGGGCTATTGAACGATCGCTTACAGGACTTTTGTCGGTTGTCCGAGGGGGCATCGAGATATACGGACGCGAACAACGCTCACTGAGTGATGCGAACCTATATGGCAAGTTAAGCCATATTAACTGGGTGGCACGAGGGGAGACTTCGATGCTGGATGTGAGCTGGTCAATATAACAAGCCTACCGCCAGATCAAATCAGAGTATGACCATCCTGGCGTAAAGTCCACAGTAATCAAGCTGGGTAACTTTTCTTTCGTTCGGTACCTTTCTCGACGGATTGCTTGCTCTACACAGCCGAGGGCTTCATCGCTAGGCCTATCGACTTGGATCTTTATCCGACAGCGTTATCTCGTTTGGTAAACATGGCACTCTGCAGGCCTGATTCAAATCTGGCGCTTTTCATGACGTGATCAACTTGGACTGCTCACGTTGCTGGAATCCATTACGTTTCCCCATAAGTCAAGGACGGTGGCGGAACTAGGCGCTCCTCCCTCCAACTTAACTTTCCCGGGTACACTGAAAGCATACCAAGTCTGTGGAGGATACGAGGGTAATTATTTCCATGGCCTCGTCACACACAGATTTCATCACGAAGAGAGTATTGTTGCCGGCACCTCTGACACGATTGCCGGGACGGACGGAAGATCGGAGATAAGGGAATCGAAGGCGGCCCGGATGCTTCACACAACCTCGGTGCCGGGGCCGAAAATATCGGAAGCGTCAGTGGTACCAGTGGGGTCTTCTTCTCCTTCGTCGGCGGAGCACCGCTGCGCCGACCTAATCCCTTCCTGCCTTTTTAGGCATCTAGTTTGGTGACATTGCTGCGTTCGCCAGTGGCCCAGTGACCCGAGCAGGCCGGAGCCGGCAGGGCGGGTCTGCTCCAAACATAGCACTTGATGACCTCGCAGCTTGGTTAAGGTACACACTACTGCGCCGGTGGTGTCGCTGATTGGGTGCATGCCGCTCCGGGACGGCGGCAGCACTCTGTCGTGGTCCCGTGGGAAGGGGCTCAAGCTCCAGCAGCGCTACAGTACATACATAGCAACGGGTGTGATCAGATGGGGCAATGCGAACGCGACCTTTGGGATGGCGACTGGCCTCTCATTGGATTGCTGGGGTCTTTGCCGGGGAGCCGAAGGACCAGGGGGTTTATTCATTGCGGGATGGTTGGGTGAGCTTGACTGGTGGGGAGCAAGGTAGGAGAAGGAGAAAGGGGAGGCGGACGGATTTGAGACAGGGACAGTTTGGGGCTGGCGAATGTCACAGGTGCCTGCTTTGGATGCCAGCATTAGGTACTGCTTGATGCTGTGTATCTGTTTCCCTCCGACGCTTGTCGCCTTGTGTCGCGCATACTCTTAGAATATGGGATGAAGGAGGAGATGAGAGCTTGTGCAGGAAGCCTCATTGAGCCTTTCTTCGTCTTGGTGTTGGACCGCTACTTTTTTTGTTTAAATAAATTCCATCCGTAATGGTAGTCCGGAATCCGTATGATTTGTAGGTGCAATTGAACGGGGACCCTCCGTCCAAAACGGAGACATACGGATCCCATCGCAATTACACTGCAAAAAGTGACCCAACAAAAAGATACATGGGCAAAGACAAGCTTACGAACACTCCAAGACCCCAAGACCCCCAAGACTCCCCGCGGCGCGCGCCCAGAGACTTGGTGCGCATAAGCCTATTTCAGGCTAGAGTCACGAGCAAACCCGCAAACTTAACGCCGCCCGCTAAAACGAAAGAGAGTGTCGAAACGAGAGTCGCAGGCGACCAGCAGGTGCGGCCAGGCGAACATAAGGTACCTTCACCGACAAGGGTCAGGCAGGTTGCCTCCCTCCAAAATCGCGGCTTGGCTCAATCCCGTCCAATCCATCCACGCACGCAACGCACGTCCTTTCCTGACCCTCGATCCTCCCATTCTTTTTCCCCCAACATCGCCACGTTCCCGGGTGGTGTGTTCATTCTCTCTATTCAGAGGTGTGTGTGTGTGGCTCTTCGATACCCGTTCCTTAAACTCCTCGCACCGGTTCCTCTTCCCCTTCGCCATCCGCCGCTTGCATTCTTCTTCTTCCTCCATCCTCTACACGTAATCCCGCCTCCGAGCCCTCCGCAGCCTCCGTCCGACAAAGGGGATCTCGCCGCACCACTTCGAGCAAACGGACTTCCTTGTCTTCCTTTTTCTATTTTCTGCAATCGTCGTCGAAAGGCAAACCGAGAAAGTCATTTACCTTCACCTCTCACCCAACCCGCGACACAACTCGAACCCGTCGCGCCTACTTCTCTCATCTTCATCCATCACAAACAACAACCAGCTTCCATACCAAACAATGGCCGACCACGACAAGCCCCCCGCGTACGGCGGTCCTCCCCCTCAACACCCGCAACAAGCCTACCAGGGCTACGGCTCCCCGCCTCCCCCGGGCGGCCCAGGAGGCTACGGCACCCCTCCGCCGGGACAATACTACTCCCCCGGCCCGGAGATGAACTACGGCCATCAGCAAGGCCCTTACCCACCTCCGGGACAGCAGTACCCCCCGGGACAATATCCTCCCCAAGGACCCTACCCGCCCCAGGGCCAGTACGGACAGCAGTACCCACCGCAGGGCGGTTACTACCAGGACAACCGCGGCGGCGGCTCGGGAGGCGGCATTATGGCTGGTCTGCTCGGTGCGCTCGCGTGCTGCTGCTGTCTTGACTGCTTGTTCTAAGCCGGCGGCCTGTCGAACGGTTTGTCTTACTGGGATTCTAAGGGGCCAACTTACACGGAGCGACATTACAATACAAATCACACGATACCCCCAAAAACTAAACTACTTTACGACCGATCGTCATATCGAACGTTATAAGCAGTACCACTTCCGAACGGGATGATGGCAGGAGAGAAGGAGACGCAGTATGGAGCGAGGGTAGGAAGGTATCTGGTCTGGACACCATGCGATGCTAAGAAATGCATGGCATGGCGTGGGAAGATGCACACGACAGACGACCCCTCGCCGTTTGAGAGACGGGGGCGACGAGAGTCAGAAGGCGTAAAGCCGACATTGCGCTGTTCTCATCGTCGTAGGCATGGGGGACCTTCTTGCATGTCTCGAACGGCGTCAAAGGGGTGACGAGAGTTTTCGATTCCTCGAGGTGGAATCCGGGGAAGCAATAACTTTTCTTCTGTCTTGGGCTTGAGAGACGGGTATGCTTTACAGGGGAACGAGCCCTTTTCAATTCTGCGAGGGCCTTTTGAGTTCCTTTTTGGTGTTTATCGAACCCGGTGGGATCCGGGAGTTTCGATAGCTTTTCTTTTTTACCGCATAGCATAATATCATCACGGATACGCCTCGGAACTTGCTGTCCTCTTCACTAAACTCAAAATCGTGTGTGACTTTGATTCCCTATCGGCAAAGCTCAGCTGAGCTGAGCTCTCGAGTGCGGGGTATGCTTCATCGAGAGTGGCTTGGCCGAGGACGCAAGCATCCTAGGCGCAACGCCACGGAGACTTTCACGTTACATGTGTAAGAGAGGTTTCGGAGGGCAAAAGTGAAGACCGAAACTCCACCAAAAGAACAAACAGATTCAGGTATCTACAATGAGATGATCTGCTGTCCCATTTCTATGCTACGCTACTAAAGAACTCGTCAAAGTCTCTTTGAATGTTGGCCACGCAGTCATTTGTATAAATCATCTTTTGCACGTCGGGCGAGGCCCACTTATCCGGCACAGCGCCGGTCTGCTTGGACTCGGCAAACATGCGATCGCGCTCCTCCTTGGCTTTGCCCTCGCCGAGGTGCAGCTGCTTGCCCGAGAGGAAGGCCATGTTGACGAGCTGGGAGGTCCAGTCGCGCCGGGAGAGCTCGTAGGCCTTGAGGCAGCGCCGGAGGGTCGCGGGAGACGTGTCGGGCGCGCGGGCGAGGACCTCGGCAACGACGGAGCCGTCTTCGATGGCCATGGCGGCTCCCTGGCTCAGATGCGGGAGGGTTGGGTGGCAGGCGTCGCCGAGGAGAGCGACGGGCCCGTCGTTGTGAACCCAGGTCGGTAAGGGCTTGTGCATGCGTAGGCGCCACTCGCAGACCTCGCCGTCGGGCACAAGGTTGAGCATGCGGTGGACGAGGGGGCAGAAGTCGTGGAAGACGTCGAGCATGGCCTTTTTGGAGCCCTTTGTGGTGTAGGTCGCGTTCGTGGCGACGGCGAAGTTGGAGTCGGGCTGTGTGGTGGACAGATTGTAGATCGTGTGCGAGGAGACGGGGTAGGCGATGATGTGACGCTTCTCGCCAATCCAGCGGATGACCTCGTCTGAGTCGAGGAGGGCAAGGAGCTCCGGGTCGTCGGCGATCTGCTCACGCTTGAGCATGATGCGGTAGGCGGCCTGGCCCGTATCCTCCTCTCCGCCGACGGCGCCGATGGACTCGAGCAGTTGGGCGCGGATGATGCTCTTGATGCCGTCGCAAGCGATGAGAACGTCGGACTCGACTGCGTAGGAGTCGCCGTCGCGCGGCTGCAGTGTGAACTTTGGTTTGGGCGCAAAGGATTCGACCGAGAGCAGCGCCGTTGCGAAGTGGAATGTGATGGCGGACTCCTTCTTACAGGCATCGTACATGCCGCCGGCAAGGGAGGAGCGGTGACCGTTGCAGTGGGGGAAGCCGTAGAGTTTCCGAATGTCGGGCATCTCGACGTGGGCGAGCTCAACATTGGTGGCGCCCTCTATGCTAACATGTCAGTAACGTTGTGCTTGTGCGGTGGTGCAGAGGTCCTCCTTACGTCGGATGCTTGAACTCTTCACGTCTGTACACGTCTTCTCGATCTCAGGCCAGCAGCCTAGGCGATCAAGTACGCGGACGACGTTTGGCGGCATTTGAATGCCGGCGCCGACGAAGCCGAGGTTGGAGGCTGTCTCATAGACATCAATGTGCTTGAATCCCTTCTTGGCCAGTGCAAGTGCGCAACCCAGGCCGCCCATTCCTACGCAACTTCGTGTTAGTGGACGGTATACAAGGTTCGTGAGCCAGGCGGCGAGTACCTGCGCCAATAATGGCAATCTTCAAATCCTTGGGGTCTGCCATTGTGTCTAGTATGGTGCTGTAGTATGTGTCTCGAAGGGTATCGAATTGCAGAGCTCAGTTGGCCCAAGGTTTCTGGTAATATCGTCGTCCCAAGGGCTACTTATGAAGTAGACGATACGGAGCCTCACATGGAGGGGCATGTGGGGGATCGGAGGTAAGCTCGGGGTCCATTATCAGCTGGAGAAGCGGGGAAGCGATCTAGAATGAGGGGGATGCTGCGATATTCCCTAACTCCCCTTGGTCCTTTGATGAGCTGGTAGAGAGCCGGGATCGCAGGACGGGAAGTAAATACGATTCATCGGGATTGCCATTGGTAGACGAGCCAACTGCCGGTGCGCCGACGGTGCTGTGGGGGTGATGCGAACTTTAGGATACTGCCGTACCCCAAACCCCAATTTCGGGCGGTCAAAGTTGCTTGAATGTTTAGCCAGCGTTGGTGGTGGTGGTGGTTGACGAAGCTGTCAGATGTCGTGTCAAAAGAATTGGCTTAGTCACGGGTGCAATTCGGATGTGAAAGTCGGCATGCGTGCGTCTAGACTCCAAAACAGACATATGCAGGTGGCCTGGCCCGTCCGTGTGGAAATGTGGCTCGCTAGCTTCATCGCTGACAGCGGCGATTGTGTCTTTGTTGTACTCCGTACGTGCCATACAATGGTGGCTCGCTCACAGGCGCCCATCCAGGTTTGGGGGAGAATCCCCGCGTTCGGAGGGAGGGCCGAAATCTTGTCGTCATGTCGCGAAAAAGAACAGCACGGTGCCCCGGCGCCGGGACTGTTATGATTTGCCTCGGCCGCTTAAGGGGTGGGAACCCCTGGTGATGGTTCGCTTCTCTCTGCAACGCTCCCACAGCACGATCCCGAGGTGGGTAGTCTTGCTCCGATATCTGGAGGCCGGGAACCCAAAAGCGACGGCTGGAGGAAAGCAAGGGTTTGTATGGGTGGACGGGTGGACGGATGACGGAGGAGGCATGGCGGTGGCATGCGAAGCCAGTTGTTCGTAAATCTCTGTCGAGAGCAGGATTTTCGATCGTGGATGTCAATCCCAGCTCCCTCTTTTGGACATTTCAAATGACGGCTGATATTGTTGTCGGGACATTGTGCCAAGAAATGGGATCCCAATGGACCAGTGCGATACGCGGAAACCAGACGCCTTCGTTCCCACTGGTGGTCAATAACCAGCTTCTGTGCTCACTTGCCTTGGCAACATTTGGTGACGGAGAGTAGCAGAACAGACTAGACACCCTTCGGGACGCTATGTGGCGTAGACAGTGTAATATCGCTTTCTTGTGATCGGGAGACGTGAAAGGGCGGCGTCTCGGCGAAAGCTTCGCTTTCCGAGGCGCAGGTGGTTTAATTCAAGACTTGGTCTTCAAGTCGACTGTTGGGATACCCCACGACCCGAAATGCTGGAGGACGGCGCGGACAACGGCAACGAAAAGGTTGGCGAATTCCACAGTTCACCAAATGGATATTTAGAGTGGCACAGCCACGCAACCTCGCCCCATTTAGCCACGACAACGTCTCTCGGTAAGCTTGTCAATGTGGACAAGGTTCATTGTCGATTCGCCTTGCTTGTACAGGGATGGCCCGGTTAATTGATAGTAAGAGCGGCAAAATGGCCACAAGTGTTCCATTGTGCAGCATGCTCATTCAGATGGTGGTGTTCATGTCGTTGTTTGTCCCGTACGAGGAACAAATGAATTGTTTCCTCTGGCTGGGAGGAATCGAGAAACGACGATATTCTCAGGGGCATTCAAGTCTTGAACCTGGGGAGCAAGCTGATTTGGCAAGCGAGGAGTGTCTTTCGGCTGGTACTTGGGACGAAGCGCGCGCTGATCTATTTCTGAGGCATGCGTCAGAACAGCGCGTCAACGTGGGGTGGGTGGTCAAAGACTGCCCATGCCCACCACATCTCTTGAGGTTTGAACAGGCTGGACGACCGGAAGGCCAAGGGTCGTGCTGTACGTCCCGTCTTTATTCATACCTATTATAGCAAGCAAATTAGCGATATCTGGCTCGGTTGGTGGAAGATGGAACTGTACTCTCGTGCAATGAATGATGAAAGAGATACACAGTGTAATGCGTAGAGGACCTTATGATGAGAGGTTTTGGAGGCATCCGTGGACCGTGGTCGAGGTCCCCTACCCAGGTGGTACGTACTCCGTATTCTGGCGACATTGGCGACCCCAGTGGTAACTGACAAGTGATTGGGCCAGAGTTATGGCGAACCGCGGCGGGATCCCACTTTGTCCCGCAGAGTGGCAGGGGTCTGTTTCGTTTGTAGCGAACAACCAATGAAGCCGCTGATGTCACCAGTTGCAGGGCTCCTGAAGCGAAGTAAGGAAAACCAGCAACAGCGCACCTAGCGATTGACTCTGGGGGGGGGGGGGTTCACTGGGGGGCCTGCAGCGACTTGAAGCAGTAAAGTGCACCTGCAGTGCCCCTGTCCGGGCCCTGGTCGTTGTTATATCTGCACCTTGTCGGCCAATCAAAGAAGCACAACTACTTCGGTCAAACCCTTTGCCTGCGATTCCTTGGCACTGGCTCGCTCCTGGCCTCTCTTTCTCTGAACCACCTCTACGCAGTAGTCTGTCTTTCTCTCGTCGTTCCTTGGCCCGGCTAGTTAATTACTTGACATCTGCTTCTTCCCCAAGCTAGAAATTCAGTTGCGTGACAATACCATCGGTCCTGGACACGACCAACAGCCACACGCAGTAATTCTCTTACGGCTACTGTCCGACACGAACGAGAATACAGACTTCGATACGACC